ACTGAGTTCTGCGGCCTCGCTCCCTGGCACTGAACCCCCGCGCTCGCACCTGGACGGCTCCCAGGGCGGAGAGGTAAGGGCGCCCAGACAAGCGCGTCTGCCTGAAATCTAGGCTGAGGAAGTGAGTTTTTATTGTCCAGGTGGCCTTTTCCTTTAAAAATGAATGTTAATGAGTAGGAAAAGGCAGTATAGAAACTTTTTAGAACTTGAAAAGTGTTGTATACCTTAAAAAAAAAAATCACACGTGTTTCAGCAAAATTGTCTGGAGCTCCAAGCAGAGCACGCAGTTAGGGTTCTTGTTCCTGTCACGCTCCCTTGGCATGGCCATCCCAGTGTGGGCTTCTCAGGCGTCAGGAGGGCAGGCTGGCCTAGGCCAAGGGCTGCACAGACCGCCCCCCCCCCCCAAATCATGGTTGTTTCTTAATAAAAACAGTTCATTAAAATAGGAATTTTAAGCTAACTCTGGCTCCTTTCCCATTTGAATTGTATTGATTCTGATGGCCTCATAAAGCTCTTTGGAATTAAACCGACAGCTTGGAGCAGCGACGCGCATGTCGATTTTTTACTTGTCTGTATCTTGTGTGTGTTCTTGCTGTTTTGTAGCTTTCGCGCTGTAGCTCAATGAGCTCATTATCGCGTGAAGTCAGCCAGCATTTTAATCAGGTACCTGTGGCTGGCAGTTCTCACTGAGCCTAGAGTTGAACTGGGTCACCTTTGTTTTTCCTTTAAGCTCGCTGCACTGGTTGTCATTGTGCATGTGTCACTAACATCACCCACTGTCTCACCCAGCCATCCTACGACGAAGGATGCAGTGTTCCTTTCTTTACACATCCCTACAGGGTGTTGTTAGATAGCTGGGTACACGGACAACTGAAGTGACCCCAAAATGCTCGTAGTGAACGGGTGAGCTTTGTAACTGTGCTCTTTCTGAATGGGGTTTTTCAAACGCCTGGCCTTGGGCGGAGCCTCACCATGTCTGTGAGTGTGTTTCAGGAGCTCAGGCTCAGGATGCTCTCATTTGGAAGGGAGAATCGCTTTTTTCTGAGCAACCATGAGAAAGTTTATTCTGGGCCAGGCCAAGCGTACCAGTGGCCACTGTCTTGTGGCCAGTCCGGATGGGGAATAAAGGAATACTTCATCCTGTGTGTGTGTCGTGGAACGAGCTTCTCCCGCCAGCTCAGCACAAGGGCTCCGTCCGCCTATATGTGCCTGTTGAACACTGGATTTGTGCTGGACACTTGGGTCTGAAGTAGTCAGAAATGCCTACTAACCACCACGCCTGGTGCAGTGCCGCGTCCTGGCACTGGGCACGCCTCGTTTTTGCATGTTCTGGTTTCTAAAGTGTTTCACTCTGCATGTTGCTTGGATTTCTGTCGTTTTTCTGTGACCCATTAAATAATTAAATCCAGTGTTGCAAGAAGTATCTTCGACCTGCTTCTGTGGCTTATTTAAAAGTATTATAAAACCTTACCCAGCATTAGTGTCTCTATCTGCAAATGAAACAAACTGCTGTGTGATGTTGTGTTGTTAAGATGGACTCTCTGTGCTTCTCAGGCTCCCGGTGATGCCCCCCCTGTTGGGGGTCCCTCCGGAGGAGCAGTGCCCTTCTACAACCCTGCTCAGTTTGCACAAGTAAGTGTCCTCGCTGTCTCCTTGGAGGGCGGGAAGCGGAAGAAGGCCTTTCCCCCAGCCCGTGACCCTCACACGCCTGCTGACCCCTTCTCCCGTCTCCGCCACTGCCCTTAGTGGAGATGCTCGCCGCAGGGTCCTGCGGCTTCCTGCTGACACGCCTTGGTGTGGGTCTAACTCCCTCCACCGTGTGGCCTTGGCTGCCCTTCACCTGGGAGCTCGTGTCCTTCAGTCTTCAGTCAGGGAATGTTGTGGAATGTCTCCTTTTATTTCTTTCCCTCTGCCTTCTCTCTTCTCCCTCCCAGGCTCTTGCCTGTTGGGCAGAGACTGGCTGCCCGTGGTGGGGGAGCCAAGTGGGGTAGAGGTCTATGGGGTCGGCACTCAGGATGTGATGCCTCCCCTGCGCCCGGGCCGTCCTGACGCAGCCTCGCCCTCGCTGCCTGCTGCGCCCACCTCCTCTGCCGCGCCCTGCCCTCGTCCCCCCGCTGCCCTCTGCTTCCCGGCTGCTGCAGCTGAGGCTGTTTCTCAGCGCCCCCCCCAAGGACTGGTGCGCCCCAAGTTAGCACCTGGCCAGCCACCTGCCTTCCTGCCTCGAGATTGGTTGCTGTCTTCTTGCCCCCGTTCCTGTACCTGTAGTTCCGGCCCTGACAGCAGCCCCCCGACTTCCATGTCAGTTGGGATTTGCGGGGGAACGAGAGTGAGGGCCAGCGTTCTGTCCACTGCCTCCCTGGGCGCTGCTTCCCTGTGTCCTCCCTGGAGTCCTGAGACACTCCACCGTGGGTTGGCCTCACATCTCACCACCGCGACAACACTGCAGACGCCTTTCCAGGGAGCGCCAAGATGTGATCCTGACTTGGCCACTTGTCATGGGCTTGCACAAACACAACAAGCAAACCCTGCCTGGTTGCTGAGATCAGCGGTCTGTTCTGGCCTATTCCCTAGACCCCCCGTTACGTCTTGCCCACCTGGGGGCGGGCGTGCGAAAGTCAGTGCTGTCTCCTCATGTCGTTCCAGGCCCCCGCCACCTTGGGAAGCTCCAGGACAGGGAGGATTGGCCAGAGGAAACACCCAGCACTGAGCTAGAATAGTCCCTGTTCTGGAGTAGCATTTGAACCCTGAAATTATCCTCCACCAAGAACTCGGGCTGACTGCCTGCGACCTCCGCCTGTTCCCGGACAGACACTGCAGTGACTCAAAGCGGCTCTCCTTGGCGTCGCCCTCCTCATCTCCTGTCTTTAGAAAGTACCGCCATAGTTAGTTCCACAGGTCCTGTAAGATGCTGACGAAGAGAGGCAGTCCTTTACCTGACAGCCTCACTGCCGACCCAGCGCTCTTAGTCATCTGAGAATGTCACACTGGGTGAAATGGGAAGCGTCTCTGCCGCAGGAGGAACCTTGCTCTTCAGTACCCAGGGTGTCTCTCAGAACCTCGCAGTGAATCACTGGTCCCCTGGTTCCTTAGGATGCTGGAAGGCAAGAGTGACCTTTGACTCAGGAGAGGGAGGCATGAGCACCTGCCATCCAGCCAAAGGCAGTCAGCCCCCTGCTCCCGCCGTGTCTGAACCAGGAGAACGGCTGGCGGGTCGTAGGTTCTTCAGCATCTTAGAGGACACATGGAGTTAATTTAGCACCAATCCCTTAGGTTCCGAGAGAGGCCCTGGGTGCTGAAGTGCATTTCTCTCCTGTAGCAATGACGTTTCCAGCTTCACTGAATTGTCTGTGGCCTGATTAGGACCATGAGGAGTTTCATGCCACCAAAGGGACTGGCTTTGCACATCCGTGAGGGACGGCTCCACTGCTGGGAAAGGGCTGCGACAGAGCTCGTGTTCTGAGTGTGACTGATCCAGAGTCCTCGCCAGTGTTCACCTGGGGCTGTGACTCATTTGATTCAGATGCTTTTACTGTGCGCACGGCCTGGTTGGCCGCGTTGTCCAGGACACTGTATGGGTTGCCACGCTCTTTGTAAAGTGGCCAATACTGTACTTTGCCATGAGAGGTTTTCCTAGGGCAATCCGGTTGACTTGCTTTCTCTCACCTGGTTGACATCATTTAAGGAGCTGGTAACATCTTGAAGAAAGTGGCTTAAAATAATTCCTTGACAGAAGCTCTGGACTGTGATATCTCTGCCCGTGAGTTGTTTCCGCAGTGGGATCGTCAGTAGCTCATTCGTTGACTCAGCCGTACGAAACCGCGGAGGGAGACCTCCCCTTCCGGACTCCAAGCTTTAAGGCTTCCTCGACTGTTCTTAAAACCGTTCACATTCTTGTTAAGTCTAAAGAGACCGAAGAAAAGATTTCAATGTTTATTAAAATCATTAGGAAACATTTCTGTAGGTTCTGCTGGGGGTGCATAGTCTGCCTGGCCCTTTAAATCTAAGTGTAGGGATCGTGTAAATGTGGGGTTAGCCCAGGTCCTTCCCATTTTCCTGGTTCACCTGAGCACCTAAGAAAGACCCACAGACGTTTTCCAAAATGTTTCACAGACTTGGTGACCGGATCCATTTGTTCCTGTCACTTTGAGAAAGGCCAGCCTTGCTGACGGGCAGTCTCCTGTGCCCCGTGGTCAGCTCCGTGTGCTTCCTTGGACCCGAAACCCTCCCACCGCCCTCGGCTTCCTCTGGTCCAGCCCTGCCCTTTGTTCTCTGTCAACTGCCAGCCACTTTTGATCTAAGAAGCTTCCTCTGAGGCGGGAGCTGCTATTTTTTCCTAAATGCAAATTGTTACACTGCAAATTGTTAAATAAAATATTTTGCGCTCTCAAGCACTTTCTCCTGTTGTCCCTTTTGTTTCCTGGAAGCGAGTGTGGCCCCCGGCCAGGCACCCTCAGGAGCCCCACCTCACCTGCACTTTGTTCTTCAGCGTTCAGTATTTTACTTGCCCGATGCTCCTGTAGCTAACCCGTCTCCAGCCAGCGTGCTGCCTCCTGATGCTGCCGTCTCTCCAGCCTCTCACCTGCGGGGAAGAAAGGGTACGGGGTGGTCATGCATTCTTTTTTCTTTTAATTATTGAGGTCACAGTGGCCTGTGACGCTGATTTCAGGTGCACATCATTAGCTGTCAGTCTGTGTAGAGTGCGTCTCGCTCACCACCAGCAGTCTGCTTTCCGTGTCACCCCACCCGTGCCCTTTCCCCCTTTTGCCACCCCCCCACCTGTGGGCTCATCCTCCACACAGGAGTGGGACCTTCTGGCGTTTGTCTCTGGCCTACCTGGCCTAGCTTGTGTGACCTGACACCTGACGCCCCCTGGCCACTTGTGTAGCTTCCCCAGGGTCTGCCAGACTGGCTGTGGGCTCTCGGGGAGGAGCGGCTCCTCCCGTGCCGGCGGCGCGTGGGGTCCCGGTGAAAACCCACCCTGACAGCGATAAGCAATGCGGTCACAGGATACGTGCTCCCTGGGGAACTCGGCAGCAAATAATATGCGGGAGGGGGGAGGGGGACGGACTGGTGTCTGAGGATGCCATTGACCGGAAGGGGCCAGAGGCGAATCGACCGGGCGGGCCGCTCACCTGGGGCTGCAGGGGCGGGGTGGGGGGCGGCCCTGGGTCCTTCCACAGGGAAGGACGCTGCAGGCGGGTCCGCGGCACGAGGGCCACCTGGCGCCCCCGGACGGCGCCCTCCGTGCCCGCGTTGCCCGGCCGGGTCCTCCGGCCGCCAGGGGCCGCTGCGGGCGCCGCGTCCGGGCCGCCCTGCCCGCCGGTTGCCGGGGAGCCGCCGCCGAGGCCCGCGGGCCGGGAGCGGGCGGCGCCGAGAGGTGCGGGCGCGGGGGTTCTGGGCGCGGGGGACCCCTGGGCGGGGGCGCGTGGGGCGGCGCGGAGTGACCCCGGGGTGCGGGGCCAGGCGAGTTCAGAGCGCGGGGACCCCGGCGCGGGTTCGGGGATCCTGGGCGGGGTCCGGCGCGGGGTGACACCGGAGCGCGGAGAGCGGCGGCTTCGGGGCGCGAGGGTCGTGGGCGGGTCCGGCGCGGGGTGACCCGAGGGCGCGGGTGTCCTTGGCGAGTCCGGCGCGGGGTGACCCCGGGGCGCAGGTCTCGCTCCCCCCGCACCCCCCGCGGCTGCGCGACGGTCGTTGCCCTCGGGAGCCCGCGGCCGGCCGTGCTGGACCCCCAGGTCTTGAGTGGGGGCCTTGGCAGCCGGGGCCGCAGAGCTGCTCAGGGTCGCCCGCTCGCGGGGCGGGGTCTGCGGGTGGCGATGGCGGTGGGCCCGCCGGTGAGCCAAGGGCTGCCCGTCGGCGGAGGGAGAGGCATGCAGGACCCCATCTATGGTCCACCTGTGAACTGGCCTCCACTGGCCTTCGCCCTGGGGGTGAAATTCTCACTTGGTCATGCTCTGAGTACCCCACGTGAGGGGCAGGCCCCCATCAGCATGGTGGCTTCCCATCTTAAGACGTTCTACCTTTCACCCACCTCCCAGGAGGAAGCAGCAGGCCAAAATGTCTAAACGCTTGTTTTTGCTGGACTGCTCCTGGCCTGTCCACTCTGCCGCCCTGCACCATAGCTGTCCACTAGGAACATTAAATTGGCAACAGGGCCACGATCACGGAAGGCTAATAGCACGGTTTTCCTTTAGGTACCTGTGGGGGACCGCAGGACTTCACAGCCTCCAGCCATGCAGCAACTGGCCCTCCCCCTACTGGACCACCCCAGGCCTGAAGGGGAGCTGCTGCTGGTTCTCTCCCCCGTGCCCTGCCCTGCGACCTCTGACCACACATCCCTGATACTGGGCGTTGCCGCCAGCCCAGAGAGGAGCCGTCCGCTGGGTTGGCGAGGCTGCCATCGTCCATGAGAGCTGGGCCCTGGATTATGCCATCCAAGCCAGCGTGCCTGGGGCACTCAGAGGCAGCACCCGAGCAGCCCACCGCCCATGGGCATCTGCACCCTGAAGGCAAAATGCTCAAGGGGCAGCTTCCAGGCACAGACAAAGACCTCACCCCCTGCCCAGAGTCCCTGCCCACCGACAGCTGTCAGGGCCCAGAGAAGAGTCCAGTGCTCCCTCTGAACATTCCAGCAAAAGTCAGCAATGAGGACCCGCAAGCTAAGGCAAATCCCTTTACCCCAAAGCCGCCGACGAGGCCCAGGCTGGAGCGAGCGCTGTCCCTGGATGAGAAGGGCTGGAGGAGGCGGCGTTTCCGAACCAGCCAAGAGGACCTAGCCTCCCGGAATGGGGCCAGCCCCTCCAGGGGCTCCTCGCAGGACGAGGCCCCTGGTCCCCCCGCCCCCAGTGGCCCCCCGCCCTGCCTGAGCACCTCCTTGCAGGAAATCCCCACGTCCCGCAGGCCCCCAGGCAGCCCCTCCCTGTGGGGTAACTGTCTTTCTGGAATGATCAGCACTTCCCTGGACCTCCTGCACCGGGACGGCGCCGCAGCCGGGAGCACCCCCAGGCTGGCCGGCGTGCTTCCCCCACGGCCAGTGCCCGCCATGGAGCAGGCCGTGGTCTCCCACTCCCTGCGGACAGCGAACAAGGTGGACGAGGACCACGCCGACTACAAGCTCCGCCTGCAGACCAGGCTGTTCCGGGCCCACAGCAGCCTGGGCCCCGGCCGGCCCCCGAGCCCCCTGGCCTGCGACAACTGTTCCCTTCGCTCGGCCAAATCCTCCTTCAGCCTCCTGGCGCCCATCCGCACCAAGGACGTCCGGAGCAGGTAGGGCACCCGGGGTGGGTGCCACCCGGGCCTCTGTTTCAGCGTCGTAAAGCAAGCTGCGCACGAGGCACGTGAAGGTGTTCTCCTAAAGCCCTGTGAGGTGCATGAGCGTGGAGACTAGAGCAGGTCTTCCCTCACTAGCCCCATCCCCCAGCTCCTTCCGGAACTTTCCTTCACATCTCAGCACTGTGCCTGGCCCGGTGCCTGTGATGTAGGTGGTTCTGATCCCTGATACCTACACACTGTGCTGGGGCACGCTCTTCCTTCCTCCTTCTTGCTGCATCTTGGACAGCCTTCTTTGTCGGTGTCTGCCCTGTGGTCTGTCGGGCTGCAGGATTCTAAGATGCGCTATTGAGCCAGGCTGTTACTTAACCTCTTTGCGAAGGACGAGTATCAGGGGGACCTCAGTGGGCGGCGGCTGGAGTGCAGCAGCGAGCAGCCGTGCCGTGCTCCGTGCATGTGCACGCCGGGCACCTTTCCAGGACGGATAGCTAGAAGTGAAATTGCTCGACTGAGGGCGCAGGCTCTCGGTGACTACGGTGAGCCACACTGAGGGGAGGGTCCCTGGGGTCCACTCACTGGTGGGAGGGGGACACCGGGCAGGGCCTGATCTGCTGCACTTTGCTTCCAGGAGTGTCCCGTGACTTCTCGTGCCTTCTGGGACTCAGTTTGCTGAGCGCCCCATCGATCGGCCTTGCTCTTGGCCCCCACAACCCCCTGGACAAGGGGGGCTCGCATTGCGCCAATGCCTGGTTTCCGGGCTTTATGAGGCTTTAATAATTAATCCACATTGATTTTTTTATGGCTTGAAAAGAAGCTGAGTGCTGCCCCTGATGTCAGTCCTCTGCTCACGACTCCCGAACACATGCCCCTCCCTCCCCAGGCCAGAGCCGTGAATCTGCCAGACTGGGGTCCCAGCGCGTTCAAAGCCGTGACCTCTTCTCCAGGCCTGGCCTTCTCCCCAGAGCTCGGTCCCAGGCCCCTGTGTGTGCCCAGGCTGTAAGTCGGAAAGTGTTCCTCCACCCTCCTCTCCTTCCCTCCCACAGTCCCGTCCATCCGGCCCGGCTGAGATGACAGCTCCCGTGCCTCCTGCTTCTCCCCACCCTGCCCCTACCGTGCTGGCCAGACCTCCACTCCCCACCAGGGCTGGGTCTGTTTTTCGACACATAGGGCCGAGGCCCTGAGTTGGGCCCACACCGCCCACTTCCCGATGTGGCATCCAAGGCCCTGGCTGGAGCCCTGGCCCCCCTTCTGTCACCAGCCTCTACTCTCGTTGCTGCCCCTGTCTGCCACCCCTCCGATCAGGCCGAGGCCAGCTCCAACCCCGCAGACGTGGCGCTGGGGGAGGGCAAGTGTGAGATGGTCACTGTGTCAGTGTCCTGGGGCTGCTGTGACCACTTACCACGCACTGGGCAGCTTAAAAGGACAGAAATTTACTCTCTTACTGTTCTGGAGGTCAGAGTCTCAAATCCAGCTGCAGGCAGAGTGGGGCCCCCGTCGGAGGCTGAGGGTGAGATCCTTCCTGCCTCTCCCAGCTTCTGGTGGCTCCAGGCTCCTCAGCCTGTGGCACCTCCCTCCAGTCTCTCCTCCGTCTCCATACTCCTTCTCCTGTGTGTGTGTGTCCTTTCTTCTTCTTAGAAGGACACGAGTCACTGGACGTGGGGCCCACCCAGCAGGATCTCATCTCGAGATCCTTAACTATTCCATCTGCAAAGACCCCCTTTCCAAATAAGGTCACATTCGCAGGTTCTGGGGTGAGGAGGCGGACGGAAGGTGGCCCTTCCCTCCCTCGGCCCAGGTGAGCCCAGCAGTGGAAGCCGGGCAGGTGGTCCCCCCAACACTGCAGGGAGGGCCCCGCCCCCCACACTCCCTCCTGCTCCCTCCATCAGAGGCAGGGGGCAGGGGGGTTGTTTATTGGACAGAACAGTTCCTTTGTTAAAATAATTCACTGTGAGTTTCTTGGGAAGGGCGGGATCTCTGAATGCATTTGAAGTATTATTACACTGTTTAAGCACAGTTTCTGTGAACTTGCCTACTATATAGAGTGAGAAGCACATCTCCGAATCAGATCCCCCTTTCGTTATTTTCAGACGAGAAGCCAGCGCTGGGCTGGTGGGCTTCCCACCCCCAGTTCTGCCTGAAGTCTCCATTCCAGACCCTCCTAGTGTTTGAGAACAGGGGGTGGGCACACTTACTCTGTAAAGGACTGGGTAGTAAATATTTCCATTTCGTGAGCCATATGGTCTCAAAAAGAAAAAAAAAGCAGCCACAGACCACACATACACCAGCGGCCGTGGCTGTGTGTCAATAACACTTTATTTAGGGACACTGAAATTTGAAGTCTGTATTTTCCTGTGTCATGAAATACTGTTTTTTCCCAGCCATTTAAAAGTGTAAAAACGACTCCTTGCTCGTGGGCTGTATGCAGACGAGCCGGGCCGGATGTGGCTCCGTCAAGGCCGCGGGCCCTGGCCTGGGAGGGGCGGGTGCTTTGGGAGATGCGAGGGGCACATGGGCTTTGCTTCCCAGACACTGGGAGGCAGGAACTCGGCCCGAGCTGCCTGCGGGTGTTTGAGCACGCTGGGCCTGTTAGGATTCTCAGCAGGGCGGGGCGAGCTCCGGGAGGTTCCTCCCTCCCGCCCTGATTTAGTTCACGTCCTACGAAGCTTGGCGAGCGTTTAAGAATTTCTCATGCAGGTTGCTAAGAACTGGATTCTGGCTTTCTGTCCGTCACCTGTGGAGCCATGCTCCTAAGTTGACCCTCGAATATTGGTTCCTCTTTGCAAGACTAAGGAATAAGATTTCCTTAGCAAATTGGAATGAAAAGCATAAGAAGTTTGAAAAATACTCCGGGTTTCTATTACCTGATGTCACGTTGACTCCCAGCGTTCCCCCCGAGAACTCCAGCCAGCAGTCCTGGAGTGAAATCAGCGTAAGCCCACAGTGACGGAGCGAGAACCCTGGCGTCTGCAGGTGACAGGTTCCCCTTTCTCCGGAAGGCGAAGGCAGGAGGTAACTGATGTGCCAGACAGCTTGGAGGGGTGCGTTCGTGGAGAGATGCCCCCCGACAACGGTGGGAGTGACCCTGGGGCAGAGGCCCGAATTGCTCGGTCACACCAGGTTGTTCAGCCCCAGGGGAGAGCCCTCCACCTGCGCTGCCCCAAGCCCACCCTCTCAGCAGCCAGCTGACCCCATCGTCCCACACCACAGCCCCCGTCGCCGGGCCTCGTCACATCCCAGAACCCGCTTGGCCTCCGTGGAAGCAGCGAGGGGCCTTGGAAGAACCTGCTGCGTCCGTGAAACCAGAAAGCGCATCCTGTGAAGAGCAGCTGTTTACGATTCCTCGTGGCAGCTGCATTCCCACGCGGCTGCTCGGGTGACGGCTGAGAGGAGGGCCGTGCTAGGGGACTGATCAGGCTGATGCCGTCTGAGCCCACCAGCCCATCTTGATGTCACTGGGGAGGAACACGACACACGGAGCTTGTCGGGGCAGATCTGCCTGGAAATGGCAGCAGAATCTAATCAGCCTCCGGACATTGTGACCACCCAGGAGACGGTGGAGTCCGCACTGTGGGACCTGACAGGACTGATGGCCAGTGTCCCCAGCAGACGGATGGCACGGGAGAAACAGGCCCGTCATAGGACTAAGACCTAAGAGACAAAGCAGCCAAACACAGGGTGTGGCCGCCGTCTGGGTCCTGACCTCGAGCTGGGTTGGAAGAAGGGTCTGGAAGGAGGGCTCCCGGATGCAGGAGGACTGCGGACAGTGCAGCTGGAGACAGTGGAGCCGAGCACAGTGCAAGCAGCAGAGGGACAGTCACGGGGAGCACACACAGTGCCACCTCCCCAGCTGGCGCCCTGAGCACCAGCGGAGGCAGGCGCCATCGAGGGAGGCTGAGGGGGGTGGGGCTTTGGGGAGGGGGGCTGCCACCGCGACAGCAGCGCACGGGCCACCTGCCGAGACACAGCTCACAGATGTCTTCTTGAGGGAGGGTCTGGTGGGACGGGGTGCGTCAGCTAAGAACAGGTTTTTTTGGTTTAAAACAGCTGAAGAAAATCAATTCAGGGGCAGCCCCGTGGCCAAGGGGTTAAGTTCGCGTGCTCCACTTTGGCGGCCCAGGGTTTGGCTGGTTTGGATCCTGGGCGTGGACATGGCACCGCTCATCAAGCCACGCTGAGGCGGCATCCCACATAACACAACTAGAAGGACCCACAACTAAAAAGTATACAACTATATACTGGGGGGATTTGGGGAGAAAAAAAAAGATTGGCAACAGTTGTTAGCTCAGGTGCCAATCTTTAAAAAAAAATCAAAGCAGTGCTAACGTCTCATCGTATGTGAAAACTGCGCGAGACTCCGATTCCGATTCCGGCGTCTGTAGAGAAAGTTTGGTCGGCGCGCAGCCGAGCCCTGTCCTTCCCAATCGGCAGCAGCTGCTCTCAGCGGAGTTGAGTGGCTGAGACAGAGCGATGGCCCAAAAAGCTGAAATACTATCTGGCTCCTTACAGAAGAGTTTGCTGACCCCTGTGGCAGAGGAAACCAGTGTTGAGGGGGACCCTCTGGGCGGGCAGAGGCTCTATTGTCTTCTGTTAGGGCCTTTGCAACACTGTTTGACATTTTTAACTATTTGCATGCGTTACTCTATTAAAATCATAAAATGGACGGAAACCGTGGGGTGCCATGGAGATGGGTGTATGCTGTGCTGCTCTTACGACCTCCCAATCCTGGACTGCGAGAGGAAGGCCAAGGCCCCGCCTGAGAAGGACCACGTGTCCTCCCCCAAGTCGACTAGTAGTCAGGAAGCCCACCTTGACCTCCACAGCCCTGCCAGGGGCTTGCCCCTAAGAGGTTCCACCAAGCCCAAAATGTCACCTTCGCGTCCCTTCTCAGGAGGCGATTGAGGAAAGTCGAATGTGTCCTGTCATTTCTAGAACTGTGATCTTGGTGGGTTTTCTGGGAGAGCAGGTGGCCCACAGTGCTGTGCTCCATGAGGACCGACAGGGTCTTTAAGAGACTTGTTGCTGGGGGTGGGGCTGAGGCCGGCAGCTGTGCCCGCGGAGGTGTGTCCCTGCCGCGGTCCCCTCCCTGGACCCATCCGCTCCACCCCCCGAGTTCAGCCCGCCCCTCTCTCTGCAGGAGCTACCTGGAGGGGAGCCTCCTGGCAAGCGGGGCCCTGATGGGGGCCGACGAGCTGGCCCGCTACTTCCCGGACCGGAACATGGCCCTCTACGTGGCCACCTGGAACATGCAGGGCCAGAAGGTAAGCAGGCCACCCCACTCCCACTCAGGATGAGGCTAGGGTTCTTTCTAGACTCTCTCCCAGGGCCTCTGAACCGTGTGGTCTGCCCGCCCCCTCGCCAACTCCCCTGTCACCCGGAGAGAAGCCTCACCCGTGACACCCCTGCCTCACCCACCTCTCCACTGCCCAATGGCTATAATGTGTTCTTTTCACGTACACGCTTTATTTATTTATTTTTAAATTTTTCTTGAGTTAATGATAGGTTACAATCTTGTGAAATTTCAATTGTACATTATTGTTTGTCAGTCGTGTTATAGGTGCACCACTTCACCCTTTATGCCCACCCCCACCCTCCCTTTCCCCTGGTAGCCACTAATCTGCTCTCTTTGTCTACATGTTCAAATTCCTCATATGAGTGGAGTCATACAGAGATTGTCCTTTTCTGTCTGGCTTATTTCACTTAACATAATTCCCTCAAGGTCCATCCATGTTGTTGCAAATGGGAAGGTTTTGTTCTTTTTTATGGCTGAGTAGTATTCCATTGTATATATGTACCACATCTTCTTTATCTAATCATCTGTTGATGGGCACTTAGGTTGCTTCCATGTCTTGCCTATTGTAAATAATGCTGCAATAAACATTGGGGTGCATGGGACGTTTGGAATTACTCACTTCAAGCTCTTTGGATAGATACCCAGCAGTGGGATGGCTGGGTCATAAGGTATTTCTGTTTTTAATTTTTTGAGGAATCTCCATACTGTTTTCCATAGTGGCTGCACCAGTTTGCATTCCCACCAGCAGTGTATGAGTGTTCCTTTTTCTCCACAACCTCTCCAACATTTGTTGCTATTAGATTCAGATATTTTTGTCATTCTCACGGGTGTAATGTGGTATCTTAGTGTAGTTTTGATTTGCATTTCCCTGATGATCAGCGATGATGAGCATCTTTTCATGTGCCTATTGGCCATCCGTATATCTTCTTTGGAGAAATGTCTGTTCATGTCTCCAGCCCATTTTTTGATCGGGTTGTTTGATTTTTTGTTGTTGAGTTGTGTGAGTTCTTTATATATTATGGATATACACGCTTTATTTTTTAGAGCACTTTTAGGTTCACAGCAAATTTGAGAGGAAGATAGAGATTTCCCATCAACCCCTCCCCCAGCCCGCGGCAGCCTCCCCACGGCAGCGCCCACCTCAGGGCCCGGTTGCCACAGCCAATGCCCCTGCACTGACTCGTCCTCACCCAGAGCCTGTAGTTGACCTTGGGGTCACTCTTGGTGTACATTCTGTGGGTCCTGACAATCGCGTGTCAACCTTAAAAATAAAACAGCCAGTTATCTTACCAACAAAAGGCATTTCTTCGGGAATTACTGAAGAATTGCAATTTGGGACCTGCAATTCTATGCTGCCATGCTATGGCGGACCACAGGGAAGTCCAGCCGTCGAAGGAGAGGAACGTTACTTTGTAGAGAAACAGGAGGAAGTTGGGAGGGGCTGTTTTGCACAAAGTCCACTGGAGAAAAGCAAGAGTTCAGGGTGGTGATGGCTTCTCACGGGCTGAGCTGCTGGGGTCCTGGATTTCTGTCTGGGACGCGATGGACATTGCCTCCTGTGTTGACGGCTCCTGGAACTGGCCTGGACGGGCTGCACGGGAGCGCCCCCTTCGGGCCTCCTGACTCCATTTGAAATGAGGTTTCCCTTTATTAGTTGTCACCCGTGTGAGGACACATCCACCGTTGTGCACCAGAGTAGCGTTCGGTCCGCTGTGGCGTCATCAGACAGGCACAGAGTGGCATTATCCATGTCTGTTTCACACTGTGCGTCTCCCGCAACACACGGGGGCCCCCACCCTCGCGTTCCCCTGAACCCGCCTGGAGCCCACCTGAGAGCTGGGCGCTCAGGAAAGCTTTGCTGATGAGATGAGAGTGGAAGCCTCCGGCCCTCTGACCGCCGGTCAACCCACAGCTGGACAGATGGGGGGTTGCATGCTGACTTCTGGGCGTTTGCTTCTGGGGATGTCCCCATCAGCTTTCTCTCCAGCTCACCCCCGTGTCTCCCTGGGACTCCCCTCACACAGTGGGGTCTGTGCTCAGGTTAGCGGGCTCTGGTCCCCCTGCATGTGGGGTGCTCTGATTTCTGGGCGCCAGACGTGGACTTTTCTAGACTGTGGGGGACCCTAATGCCTGGTGGAGTGAGGGAGATGACTGCTGCCACAAGTGGGGTCTCGGGCCGTATCCCAGGTGCCACCTGTTGCATGCATGTGCCAGGGTGGTGGTTTGTTTTTTTTTTTTTTTTTTTGAGGAAGATTAGCCCTGAGCTAACTGCTGCCAGTCCTCCTCTTTTTGCTGAGGAAGACTGGCCCTGAGCTGACATCCGTGCCCATCTTCCTCTCCTTTACATGTGGGATGCCTACCACAGCATGGCTTGCCAAGCGGCGCCATGTCTACACCTGGGGTCTGAACCGGTGAGCTCTGGGCCGCCAAGAAGCGCAATGTGCGCACTCAACTGCTGCACCACGGGGCCGGCCCCCTAGGGTGTTTAATGATGAGAGGATGGAAGGACCCCCGCTTCATGGGGCTGAGTCCCAGGCTGCTGTTCAGGGGGACGGGTGCTGGGGAGAAAATAAGGCAGGGCTGCCATTGGGATGAGGTTTGGCCGATGTGACTGGCAGCCTGAGGAAACAGCGCCCAGAACGAGAGGGGAGTGACTTTCTCTGAGTTGAAGGAGAAGGCAGGTGCCCAGGCTGGTGGCTCCGCCATCTTCAGGGAGCCACCCTGCCCGTCCACAGGGCGTGGCCCTCGTCCAGGGCCCAGAGGGCCAGAGCTGGGCAGCAGGCGGCGTCACGGGCAGCAGGGTGGGGGCGTGAAGACGGGTGAGGGGCTCACCTCCAGGACCCCGCCGCGCCCCAGCCGGGCCGGGGGCTGCAGCGAGGGCGGGAGTGCAGGGGGAGGGGGTGTCTCTGCCCCTATTTGCATGTGGGGGATGCACACTTAGGGCTGCGGTGGCTGCAACTGAGCCAACAGCAGCGTGCACAGGGGTCACATGGCGAGGGAAGGGGTGCGGACGTGGCCTCGGTGCTGACAGGCTGGGGGTGGAGAGGTGGCCTGCCCAGACCTGGGGCTCCCTCAGACACGTCCCGTCTGCAGCCTCGGTTCCCCTCCTTCAGGAGAGGCCAAGGGGTCCCCAGGCCGGGGGAGCCACGCGTGCTGGGCCCTTGCGGTCCTTGCTATGCGCTGCTTTTCCGCAGGAGCTGCCCCCAAACCTGGACGAGCTCCTGCTGCCCGTTGAGGCCGACTACGCCCAGGACCTGTACGTCGTCGGGGTCCAGGAGGGCTGCTCCGACAGGTAGGGCCCCCTCGCCGCCCCACGCCTCCCCGGCCTGCCATCCCTCCTGGGTCCTTGGAGCAGCGGCACCGAGGTGGCCTCTGGGGCTGACGCTGCTGTGGCCCGAGACCCCGTTGTAACACGGCCGAGACAAGGGCCTGGGCAAGCCTGGGCTGAGCACGGGAGTCACTTTTTCTCAAGTGGTGACTCAGAGGATTTAAAATAAACAAGATTCACCTTCTTGTAACGAAATCACTGACCTAAGAGCATACAAAGGCAGCGAAGAGCAGCTCACCACTCAGTCCTCTCCAGGCTCCAAGCCCGACCCCCAAGCGGTGTCACTGACCCACCCTGGGGTCCATGGGGGCTGCTGCTTACCTGCCCTAGGTCTGGCAGCACGCCCTGCATGGTTGTTGTGAGTTCACCTGGTGAGGGGGGCTCCAGGTGGCACACGCGTGTCCCCCCTCCCCTCGCTGCAGCAGGAGGCCTGGCTGGAGCGGAGGTGCCTGGACCCTTGGGGACACCAGGGGACAGGGCTCTGCTCCCCGCAGGCCCTGGCCTCCGGGTGAGGTGGCCTCATTCCTGCCTGGCCTGGGATTTCCCCCTGGCCTCTGCCCAGGTGGGCCAGGGCCTCTTGCTCAGGGTCGGGGCCCGGCTCTGTGTCACTGGAGTGTTTTCAAGGCGGTGGGTGACCCAGGCCCGTGCCCATCTCTGGGTCTGTTCCAGGAGGCCAGGCCTCGCAGGCCCAACAGGCCCAGTGACTCCTGGTGTTGCCCCTCCACCCTTCTTCCTGCAAGACGAGGGGGCCGGATCAGGGGGTTCCCTCCCGGTGGCTCCTCGAGGGGCTCTCTGGGCTGCGGGTTCTGGGCGGCAGAGGTGGGAGGCGCTGGCCCCCTTCCCAGGCGACGTCCGCTTGCTCCCTCAGGCGGGAGTGGGAGACTCGCCTGCAGGAGACGCTGGGCCCGCACTACGTCATGCTGTACTCAGCGGCCCATGGCGCACTCTACATGTCCGTGCTCATCCGCCGGGACCTCATCTGGTTCTGCTCAGGTAGCACCCGCTGCCCCTGCCCTCCAGGCACCAAGCCCCTGTCACCACAGCCCTGGGGATGTGGACACATGTGCAGTGGACGCTGGCGGCGCGCCGCTCTGGCAGCCTTGGGGCCTGGGGCGTGGTGGGCCCCACAGTGTCCTGGCCACAGTGTCTTGGCCAGTCAGCCCTGCTTCGTTCCCACAGAGGTGGAGAGCTCCACGGTGACCACGCGCATCGTGTCCCAGATCAAAACTAAGGGGGCCCTGGGCGTCAGCTTCACCTTTTTCGGCACCTCCTTCCTCTTCATCACGTCCCACTTCACCTGTAAGTCACGCGCCCCGAGTCCCAAGCGCTGCCTGGGGATGCACTTCCCCCGCGTCTGTCAAGAGGTAACGGCCTTAAGAGGCAGTCCCAACAGCAGAGAGGGCCGGGTCCCTCAGTGGCCCCGGGCCTGTGAGGAGCCCCTGACACTGGTGACGGTGGCTTCCGTCCTGCCGGGCTCCATTCTGAGTGCCAAAAGCAGATCTGTCAAGGAAGGCATCAGCGCCTACGCAGCAGATAACCCGGTGGGGCGGGTCATTGCGTAGATGCTGAGTGATTCCAGCCTGCTGCAGGGGTGGCCGGGGGTGTCCTTACCGGGGACTGACCACGCAGACGTCCAGCCTGTGTTCGGAAACCTGCCTCTCGAGGGGCCCCGCCCGCTCTGTTCTTGCAGCTGGAGACGGGAAGGTCAGCGAGAGGCTGGTGGACTACACCAAAACCATCCAGGGCCTCGCGCTGCCCAAGAACGTGCCGGACACCAGCCCCTACCGCTCCGACTCAGGTGAGCCCACAGAGGGCGCCGAGCAAGGCTCCCTGCCGCTAGGGTGGCAGCTTCTGCCTTGGTCTTCGGTTGTTTACTGGAGACAAACTCTTTAGAGCTTTTGAGAGCCAAGGTCAGAAAAGTCTGGGAGGTCACTGGCCGACCAAAATAAGTCCTCTCTGGAAAGAGGCTCGGCGCCTGCTTCTCACAAGGCATGCCTGCATTGGCCCACTTAGCGGCTGGGCAGACCCTGTCTGCGAAGCTGAGTAGCTTCCACGCGGAGCGTGGCGTCTAGGGCCTGGGGTCTGTCCTCGCCCCCAAGCCTCCTTCCTCCTGTGTGGCCTCCTGCCCCCTGGCTGTGCTGGGAGGAGCCAGGGAAAGTCAGAGGTGCATGCGTGGGAAGCGTGTCCGCTCGCAGTGAGCATGAGGGCGCCTGTTGGCGGCTGAGACCATCCATGAAGCTCCGGGATTGTCTGTCACTGTTTAAATGAAAAAGAAAACCATGAACTCGAATGTCAACCCAGAAAGCTTTGCAGCACGTGCCCCCCACAGCCCTGAGCCCCCAGGTGGCCAGCTGGGGCTGCGACCCGCCTCCCTGGGGAGTCCTTGCCCGCCGTGGCTCTGGGGGTGGGGGTGCAGACCAAGTCCTGTCCCTAAGGCAAGGCGAGCATGGGGAGGGCTGGGCTCACCGTGCTTCCTGGCTTCTGGCCCAGCGGACGTCACCACCCGGTTTGATGGGGTCTTCTGGTTTGGAGACTTCAACTTCCGCCTGAGCGGGGGGCGCATGGCCGTGGAGACCATCCTGAAGCAGGACCTGGGGGTGAACGTGCCAGCCCTGCTGCAGCACGACCAACTTACTCGGGAGATGAAGAAAGGTGAGGCCTGGGAAGAGGCATGGGCCATGGGGAGGACGCGTGGACCACCGAGGAGGAGTGTGGACCACCTGAGGAGGAGGCATGGACCACCGGGGGGGAGCAAGGACCACAGGGAGGAGGGGTGGACCATGGGGAGGAGGCATGGACCACAGGGAGGAGGGGTAGACCGCGGGGAGAGGGCGTGGCCCATGGCTCCATGCCAGCTAGTCTGAGGCCATGCCTGTGCCTGCCCCAGGGTCCATCTTCAAGGGCTTCCAGGAGCCAGACATCCACTTTCTCCCATCGTACAAGTTTGACATCGGGAAGGACTCCTACGACACCAGCTCCAAGCAGAGGACGCCCTCCTACACGGTGCGTGTGCTCCTGTGGTGGGGCCGGCTCTGCAGCTGGCTGTGGGCAAGCCACTGGAGACGGGGTGCAGGGTTGGCATCTGGTGTCCCCATCTGCTCCCGCAGGGCTGGGCATCCCCCAGCACGCCTAGCCCCGTCCAGTGCCCAGACGCCTCCAATACAGTGGGCTCCCGCAGGTGTGGCATTGGCAGGCGGCCTCTGCCTCAGAGCAGCCGGGCTGGGAGGCAGGCGGGCCGAGCTGTGCAGCAGCACCGCACCATCGGTCCCCAGCCTGTGGGTCACTTCCTGCAGGACCGGGTCATGTACAGGAGCCGCCACAAGGACGACATCTGTCCGGTCAAGTATTCCTGCTGTCCTGGGATCAGGACGTCTGACCACCGCCCCGTGTACGGCCTGTTCCGGGTGAAAGTGAGGCCAGGGAGGGACAAGTCAGTATCCTCGTCGCACGTCCTCCCTCTCGGGCTCTGGGCTGGGGCAGCAAGCACTCCGGGCAGGGTTGGGTGACAACTTTGGACCTGAGTGCATGCCGTCGTCTCGTTACGTCCTGACACCCCCAGATAGGGTCAGGGTTCCGGCAACCCCACACGGGCAGCGCTGGCATTGGTTGATCTGGAGTAGTTGTTATGAGAGCAATGTGCCCAAGGGTGGGGACCTTGCCTGGCCCCTGTGCCTGTGAGGCTGCCTGGACCCCTCTGGAACAGCAAGGCGGCGGCGTGGGCTACCGTACAGCCAACCCAGGCACAGGAGCAGGAGCAGGCCCGCTCAAGGCTGGTTCCTGTCCCTTCCTGTCATGACGCAGGGCCTGGCACGGGCTTGAGAGGGGGTTTCGGCGCCTCACAGTGTCTCCCCTCACTCAGGGCCACGCCTGTGGTGTGGGGGGTGCAGCCTGAGGGACTGAGGCCCAGCACTTCTTGGGGGCCATGTGCTTACAGGAAACAGCCGACTCCAGGTGTCTAGTGGTCAGGGGCGCCCTCCTGATGGTTCTTTCCCCCACAGCATCCCGCTGGCTGCTGGCAAGTTTGACCGAGAACTGTACTTAATAGGAATTAAAAGACGGATTTCCAAAGAGATTCAGAGGCAGCAAGTGCTGAAGAACCAGCACTCCAGCACCGTCTGTACCGTTTCTTGAGGAAGCTTGCCGAGGGAGGGCTTGTCACCCACGGTGTGGGAGGTCTGACCCCAAACCCTGGAAGACAGAAGAGGTTGCAGTTCGGGCATCTGGCCCTCCTTGGGGTGCAGGTGAGCCGCTGCGGGCTGGCCTTCCTCCTTACCAGGACCCCAGCAGGAGGCTGCAGGCTGGAGAGAGCACCGGCCCTGAGGGCCTGGTGTCCGTCCCTGCTTGCTCACCGCAGCCCGACTCACGCCCCTCAGGGCAGGCCAGCACCCGCCACACCTCCGGGCACTCTCGGTGGCACACGTCAAGTCAGGGCTGCCCGGAGCCAGTGTTTGCTGCCAGTCCCGTGTGTCAATCTGCATCCTCCCAGCAGCCCTCCTCATCTGAGCTCTGGTGGCCCAGCACTGGGGGAGGCTGCTCGGGGGCGGGTGACCCTGGGCCTCAGGTCCCAGGGACGCACACTAGGACCAGGCTGAGGCTGAGTCAGTCAAAGCCGACAGGAGGCCAAAGCCAGCCGACCTCCCACGAGGGAGCGTGGTGCCCGATGCTGGGCTGGGACCAGGAGGGCCCCGGCCAGCGTTCCAGGGCCGCATCCTGGTCTCAGGTCTGGGCTCCCAACTCCGGCCACCACCTCTCTCCTGTCCTGTTTTGGTAACTTCAGACCATTTGCTCCGTAACATCAGCCACGAGTGGCGTTGATGTAAGTGGTGCGTTTCCTGGCCTGAGAAGCTGTTAGAATGTCAGCACCTTGCCAACCTAGGCCGGTGCCCACTAACCACATCCTGGATCTTTTCTTAAACGGTTTAGGGCCCATTATTGCTCTGAGTCTTATCCCATCTCTTGAAAAAGACAAAGGCTTTGAATGTGGGGAAATCCAGGGGCATTCAACCTAGCATTTTAAATTATTTATTTTTCCATATTTATATTTTTAAATAAATGTATATATTGAATCTTAAACTCTTCCTGGCCAAAGATTGAGTCCTAGAAAGAAACAGCCTGCATGCACACCCTGTTCATACAACGCTCTTACAAGAAAAGGCAGGAAGTTTGCTCCTGCGTCCATCCACCGCCCCTGGGGACCTGTGAGCCACAAAGGGGCCTCCGGGAGAAGTGAAACTTCAGACCTGAGTGAATCGTGATGAAATGATAAGTCAAGTCAAAGAATGGTGTGTCAGACTTTTATTAGCAGCTGCTTCCAAAATATGGAATTTAAGTTTTAAAGCAATACACACCCAACCTTTTGATTCAAGTGGCAGAAATTCCAGAATGAGAAGGCACAGCCAATCCCATCTAATTTCAGGAAACTATTCAGATTGTCTGTATGTATGAAATTTTGCTCAAATGAACATGCCGTCGAGTTGCAAGTCAATTAACTGAAAATCTCTGTTAGAAAGATTTTTGTGATGAGGCTTGAAATGAGTAAGATTTTTCCTTCCAGGCATTTTCTCTGACCCAAACCATGGAAAAGAGATTTCAGTGAGACCCCGGGGTCTGTTAGTTTGGCCCGAGACCAAGCTCCCCGTCTCTGGGGAATCACATCCGTCCAAGAGGATCGTGGGTCTGAAGTTCAGCGAATGCCTTCAAACCAGCCTTCAGGGTTAGGTGAATGGACCGTCACTTGGGAAGTCAGTTTAAAATGCAAGTTAACGCAGATGAAATTGGCCAGTCTGGACAAGCAGCTTCATAAAGATTTGTGAACGTGACCCGGCGTGAGGGTGGTTTTTAAATTTGGCTCTCGTCATTCTCAGACACGCATCCCTCCTGTCACTCCTCCAGCAAGTGCCTGCCGGGGCCTCCAGAGACCAGCTCTGCACAGCCCAGGGGCATGGGGGCTGTGGCCCAGCCAGCCCGTCCAGGGAGATGTCGACAAAGATGACAAAGCAGATGGGGGAAGATGGGTTGGGGGCTGAAAGGGTGCCAGGGAAGGCCCCGAGAGCGACCTCTGGGTAAAGGGGCAGGAGGGAGGGAGAGGTCTGGGGGCGGGTATCGAGAGAGGGATGGAGGAGGGGGCAAGGGAGGCGGAAATAAAGAAAATAAAGGGAAATAAAGAAATAATAAAGAAAACTTATGTTAATGCCAGCTTCCAAAACAGACACCTGTCTGGTTAGTAGCAGTTTCTAGAATGTTCCTAAAGCTGCTGGGTGGTCAGAAGTTCAACTCCAGGTCTGCATGAGCTTTGAAGGCCAAGGTGAGGTTCACCCCCTCATCTCATGAGCTACGTCCCCACCTTAATGCACATTTGCTGTGCAGCCAAACTTCTGACCTGTCTACCGCCAGGTCCCTTTCCCAGTGTGGTCACCACAGGAAACATGACACCTGGCAATGCACTGCTGGACCACCTGCCATTTGCCTCCGGCCCACCTCCCTTGCTCCGCCCCCAGTGGACTGGGCTGTAAGGGGTGTGCGGAGAGCGGTGCAGGGCCCGGGACAAATGCAGTCGCTGAGGCTGGAACACATGTTGCAGAGGCAGATGACAAGAGGCCCTGGCAAAATAAAGGCATTAAATAGCAGGAGTAATTTCAATATTTACTTGACTCCTTAACCATCCCTCCCTCTTCCATCTGTACTGCAGAGGCTGGGCTCTTAAAAGAGGACCGGGGGCCACTCTCTGCTCTGACAGAACCGTGCAGCCCAATTTTGTGCAAGCCACTGACTGCTGTGTGGCAGGTAGCTACCCTCTGAACTGGGGCAGCATGGGAACTACTCGACGCAGCACTGCAGGTTCTCAGGCCCCAGGCCCTCCCACAGGGAACCCCAGGGTTCTATGGGTGTCTAACTTCGAGAACCATGAAGCTAAGCTATGTTTCCAGTCATCTGACCTTGTGGTTCTCCTGAAACATCTACACACGCCTGAGGACTCCACAGCTCTTTATTCTTCTCATCTCTTAAGATGTTTCCAGGCTTTGCTGTTAGCACCCACCATCAGCTCTAAGAAACCAGCCCCGCCCCCACGCATTCTGATACCTCAGAAATCAGAATGTGTCTCCATTCCAGGGCAAGAGGCCTCACAACACTGGGTCAAACTGGACGACTCTCAGGGAGAAGGGGCCTGCTCGCCTGCCTGGAGCCATCTCTGTGTAGGAGGGCTGTGGTGGAGACAGCCCTCAACAAGGCTCCCGCAGGCGAGCGGGAGGGACACACTGCTGTGTGACCGCCACAGTGATGCAGAAGGCCCGGGTGCTGGCTGCGCTCCTGAAACCGACACGAGCTCTCGCCTCCCCCGGGACCCACCAAGGGGTTTGGTGACCATCTTGGGAAGCAGGTGAGCCTGGGTGGCACAAGCCTTCCAGGAAGCTGGGCAGGGCTGACCGGCCCACCGGCCTCTGTGATGAGACCACTAGCCTCAGGGGACCCGCGGTGACCCCACCTGCTGAAACTCACGAGAGTGTGACTGCCGCCCTGGTGTTACTACAGCCAGCTGCTCTGAGCTGTCTGCACTCCACCTGGGTCCTGGCTGGGCTGAAAGTAAATCTTTATCCCACTAACTGGCAAATCCAGCCCTGAAGGAACAGGAACTGAGCCGTGCTCTGATGACATGGCATTTGTTCACGTGTAAGAGAAGAGTCCCATAGTTTGCACCCTTTATGAATTTATGTGACTAAATTCACATCCAAAAAAACAGTATAAAATGTGCTCTGGGTACGGCTCTCAGCCGCGTCAGCCCTGGAGGGCCTCTAGCGGAAGAGCCGGTACGTCCGGGGCAGCCGCCCGTCTTTGCTCGACAGCGCCGCCTGGACGTGCTCGTACGTCGGCAGGTCCGTCAAATCGCCCAGCGCAGCCACGGCAGGCTTCCTGCGGAGCATCTGAGAAGCAACTCTCTTGATGTCTTCTGGCTTCACGTTGCCTGGCACGGAGAACAAACAGACTTCAGGGGACCGCCTGACGCCCACACTGATTCCGTCTGTCTCCATGTGACGGCTGTGGTCGCTAAACGGACCAAGTGCGGGGTCACCAATCTGGCATCACCCCCCACCTGTGGGGGAGGGGTGCTGAGGACTCCAGAGCGTCCACCTGCAGCCGTGTGTGGACTGCACAGCGAGTCAGGGTGACAGGGCAGAAGTGAGTTTTTCTCAGTAAACAAGGACTGCCAATGGTTTAAAAGTACTTTCAAATGCAGAAGGATGCACCACCCCAGAAGAGTTAATATGGTTAACAAAGAAAGAGCTTCCATCTCGTGAGTTAACCAGACGCTGGGTCTCAGGGCTGCATGGACAGAAGGACCAGGTGAGAACGAGGGGCCGAGGGGCTGCACGTGCTGTCCGGCCTGTAGAGGAGGGAGCCCAGGAGCCGCGGGATGTGTGAGAAGACGCCAACAGGAGGGTTACTTTGCTACAGAAGACGAGGCCTTAGGGAGACTGGTACTGTCACACTCGAGGGTCTCAGGGGGTTCCCAAAAGGAGGACAATGGCCCGTGCATGCGTGGAGCAAGCATGGTCCCTGGCAGGACTCCAGGCCCAAGAGATGTGGGCCTTTGAGAATCTGATGAAGCTCAGATAAACCTGTCCTGCAGAGTCACAAGCAAGTAAAATTTCGTGTGTAACTGGAGAAGGTTCAAGGACCCCCTGAAGGTCACTCATGGAAGGCCACAGAAATCTGCAGCTGAGACGCCTGCCAGGGCGCCACAAAGGCAACAGCATCTGAGCTGCCGCCTCTCCACGTGCAGAACAGCAGCGCGCCGAGCACTGTCCACCCATTGTCCTGCTGAACCCGCTTTAGAACCCAGAGCGGAAGTGGAAGGCCCTTTTACAAGGGGGACATGAAAAGTTGGGGTCCCACAAATAAGGAACACAGCTAACGAGTGGCAGGGCTGGGAAGTGAGCCTGGTAAGGGCCGAGGACGCAGGTGTGGAGCCAGCGCACAGGAGACCTGAGCCTGTCTTCTGGGAGGGAGAAGCCTCGTCTGAGCTGAGCTCTCGGCCCCAGCCCCGTATGGAGCGCGGTACTCACGGATGAGCGCGCACAGCTCCTGGGGCAGCTTTCTGGAACAGGTCGCCAGCACCTGCCTCCCGACGTCCTCAAAGATCACAGGCCTGGACTCCAGGTTCATCATGAGCATGGACATCAGCTGCGTCTTGGCTCGCTCCAGCTCCACCTGGGGATCAAGAACCAGGCCCCGGGGCGGATCCACAGCGGGCTCACACACCGCCACCCAGTCACTCACAGACGACTCAGCCAGCAGAGCAGCTGACGGGAGGCGTTCTGGCCACACCTTACCAGAGGCTGAAATCAAGCAAGACGGCCCTGCCCAGAGCAACCCTGCCCTGCTCCCTGCCGCCACCTCTGGGTCAGGTGGGAACCAGGTCCTGGGGCCTTCGCTACATTTCAAATAAGACCGTGTGCTTCCCGGGAGTTCTTGTGTACTGTTTAAAAAGTCTGCCATGCAGCATGAGAAGGGTAAAGTGCCAGACACCCTAACTCCAAGACCCCAAAGCTGGCCACACATCAAAATCACGAGGAAAAAAATTCAACACCCAGACCCCAGGTGCAGGGCCAAGAAACTGTGTTCCCCACGCTCCCTGAAAAGTTCTGAGGGGACCCACTCAACCCACCAACTCTGTCGCCTGAGCCCCTCATGAGGTACTAAGTTTAAAAATTGCTGCCCAGGGGGCTGGCCCTGTGGCCAAGTGGTTAAGTTCGCACGCTCCGTTTCGGTGGCCCAGGCTTTCACTGGTTCGGATCATGGGCGCGGACATGGCACTGCTCATCAGGCCACGCTGAGGCGGCATCCCACATGCCACAACCAGAGGGATCTACAACTAGAATATACAACTATGTACTGGGGAGCTTTGGGGAGAAAAAGGAAAAATAAAGTCTTTAAAAATTGGTGCCCAGCGAACCGCGTCCACCAAGTCCAGACCGGAATGCTGGACTCGAGCACGGACGTCAGCTGCGTCTTGGAATGAGGGCACAGGAGGGAGCTCGCAAGAAACAAACAAATCTGGGAGCCGCAGAGTTTGAAGCTATATTGGCTGTTGAGATTCTGTATCATTTTTTAAGTAAAATAGTTCCTAATTTAAGACAGGTCTTTAACTTTTTTTTGCAATTTCAGGCAAATACTTAAAATTTATCTCAAATTGATTTCACATTAGTGGAAAGGACTGTTTTCCTCACAGGACACTAACAGAACCACAGCGCTAATTTTTAAATGCATTTTTATTTTCGGAGTAATACTTCTTTCTCTGATTAAAGAAAGAAAGTGTGATTATTGCAGACAACAGGGAACGTGCAGCAAAGAGGATCTGAAGTGAGGCTCACGCTCCAGCACCTGGAGGCATATGGCTCACAGGCTGGGCTTCCACCTGGGGCTTTCTCTGGATGCATGCACACTCACGTGCGCACACTTCTATATACAGCGCGTGCAGAAAATAGACTTATTTGTACCAGCTCTGGCCTAGAAGGTAACAAGGTTTCTAAACATCTAAGGTATCAAAAAACTAAGCTAAAAAAAACCAAGAAAACAGAGACTTAGGTTAAAATGGGAAACAGAGGCAGGGAAAAGGCAGGAGTGCGCCGGAGCGGCCCCTGCAGCACAGCGCTGCCCTAACTCGCGCCGTCCCATCTCAGGGCTGAGGGTGCACAGGGTGCTCTGCAGCCGTCCTCTCAGGGAGCTGCAAACGGACACGAGCGGCCACAGGACGCACGGACCAGGCCGACGCAGACCGAGGGCCAGGGAGCACGGCACACGGTTCTCCGGAAGAACCCAGGAGGAGGGGCTCCCCGCTCTGGCTGGGATACTGGTGTCGGGGGCACCTGCTGTCCACACCATTGTGGGGACGCTGGGAAGCGGCTCCCTGCCCTACTTACCTCATCCACGGTTCCAGCCATCAGGATGAATTCCTTCGTGATGATTTCCACCATCTCCCGAACCTGGAGAAGAGAGCACGGAGACAAAGCGTAACGTGAGCCCAGCCGCCTGTGCCTCCAGCTCACGCAGTGAAACGCCCTGCCCTCAAAGAGCAGCTTCCTGCTCTGAGCCCTGGCCTGCGGCCCTGCCTCACCTGTCTGGGGTCGGCACTGGCGTGAATGCACAGGAGGCCCGTGTCCTCGTAGCTGTGGTGGTAGGAGGTTGCGTTGTACATCCAGTGGTGCCTGTGGGGAACACAGAGAAAGGGACACCCGGAAGGTGGCGTCACAGTCCAAAAGGATCCTCGGGGACAGCCAGGTGAGAAGCATCCAGCCCACCTGTTGAGCACGTTGAGGTAGAGCCTGGTAAACATGCCCTTGCCGGGCCCGCCGGCCGAGAAGGAGCCGCCACCTCCCATCATCATGTTCAGCACGGCGAAGGGGATGAAGTCTCCCTCCTGCGAGAGACGGGAGGGCAGACTCAGCCGGGAGAGGAGTCTCTCGGCCCAGCACGGCTCTGGCCCAGCCGGGACTTACCAGGAAGGAGCAGCTCTCCAACCCTATCATGATGTGCGTGAGCTCGGGGAACGGGGCAGGGCCCAGGCTGACGTTGGACATATCTCTCTCTAGCTGTAACCAAGAAGAACGATCGAGTGTACCCACGTGAAAAACCACCAGACCTCGCAAACTTCTCAGGTCATGTCATCTTTTTTTTTTTTTTTGAGGAAGATTAGCCCTGAGCTAAATCTGCTGCCAATCCTCCTGTTTTTGCCGAGGAAGACTGGCCCTGAGCTAACATCCGTGCCCATCTCCCTCTACTTTATGTGGGACGCCCGCCACAGCGTGGCTTGACAAGTGGTGCCATGTCCACACCCGGGATCCGAACCGGCGAACCCAACTGCTGAAGCAGAACGTATGAACTTGACCGCTGCGCCACTAGCTGGCCCCAGGTCAGGTCATCTTAAAAACGGTTCTACAGAAATCATACACAAACTCCGCCAGAGGCAGGAACTACCATTAACCCTCCACCAAAGCTAAACTCAGTCCTAGCCAGCTCTCAGCTCAGACACGGAACACGCGTCATGCTGCGACTAGGGCGTGCCTTAGGGTGAAGCCGCGGATGCATCAACGCTAATGCCACAGACCGTGGGTAAGAACATGCCCAAAACACAAGTCAGAGAAGGCGGCTGTCACGCAAGGTCACAGATCTCTCCCGCACGGCTTTACCTTGACGATCCCCCCAGTGTACTGTGCTACGGATCTATCCACGTCCACGGCCTTCCCACTTCCCCAGGCCGGGCGGGTTCCCAGGAGGTACTTTCTGGCGCATTCCACCAGGAGGCTGTGCTCCACCCCCACCGCAGCCAGCACCATGCGGTCTGGTGTGTAGTAGTTTCTCAGGTAGGAATGAAGTACTTCTCGATCAATCTTGGCGACATTTTCTGTGGGGCAGAAACGGTGGAGGCCCACTGTGTTCCCCCTGTAAGCAGCCTAACAAAGGAAGCAGAAAGAAGCATGAGTGACAAAGGGACATAAGTCTCCTCAAGCGAGCTGGGCCCACCGTGCCCCACCAGGCTCAGGAGAAGCCCGCCAGCAGCTTATTTTAGCTGTGGTTTGGTGGCAGCAGCTTTGTTTATGAAAATAATAAAATCTACCTCTCCAGTATGAAAAACCATAAAATTATAAAACAAAAGGCTCGTTATAAAAATAGAGTGGTAAAGATCCTGTTACTGTAAGAACTAAAAACTTAAAAGCTTGCTGCAAAAATAGCAGATTCAGAAATTAGACATGTTCTGTCAACACCCGTAACCTGTGAGGGTGACATCAGGCAGGCAAACGACCCCTCCCTACCGCCCCGGGTCAGCAGGGCCACCACTGTGGATGTGGGGCATCTGCGAGTTTTCTACTTTACCTCGTGAATCATCTCTGTGAGAAGCGGTTCTGGGTCAGGGCGCATATTGAGGTCCTCCAGCTCAAACTGGACAGCCATTCGAGTCATCTCAAGTTCTTCATCTGCAAAGAACCCAAAGACAAGGCTCAGACCGCATGGGCGAGGACGGGGACCACACCAAGCCTGAGTCGCCGGGCAGGCCAAGTGTGGCCGGTCGGTGGATGTCGGCAGCTCCTCGGCCTTCGTCTGGGGCAGCCCTGGGCATGCTTGGTGAGGAAGGGGGAGAGCGCTGTGCGGGCAGGGGCCTGGAGGGCTCGGGCCTCTCATCCACTCTGCCACGAAGCAGCCACCTGCACCTGCTCTGAGCCTCGGCTCCCTCCCGTAAGAAGCACTCAGGTCCCTGACCTGTCTGTCCCAGCATGTTGCTATGAGGATAGAATGACACTGCATGGGAAGTTGCTTGGAAAGCAGATGCACAGACCAATGGCAGGTATGCCATTTCATCAGCAAGCTGGAACAGGTACCAGAAAGATCTCAACCTGGAACTGCAGCTTGGAATGCCAAGGCCAGGCTGCTACGACACAGAGCTGGGTTAGACCCACCAGAACAGTCAGCGTGGCCCTCTCTGCCAGCCGCTCCTGCCAGGGAGCTCACAGTCCTGCCACTTGCAAGGCCGAGAAAGGGACTGGAGAAAGGATGTGAAGAGTTTTAGTAGCATGTCAGTCATGGTGTTTAAAGACAGTCTGAGATGCCTTTCTGCAATGCAAGACCCAATTTCACTAAAAGCATAAAAGGGTACAGGGAGACGTGTCAAACTGTAAGCATCAAGGACTTTTCCAACCGTCTGCATTATTTCCAAAGAAATCACGCTAACTGTCACTGTAGGGGAGCCCAAGGGCTCCACTAGTACAGGGCTGTCCCCAGGGGTAGTGCTTCAGCACACCTCCCACGATCCCAGCCCCTCAAGCAGCCCAATGCTCACCTGTTAGCCTGGGGTGCAGGACCACGTCAGCTAGCAAGCCAACCACCGTGTCCAGGCCTTTAGAATCAGCAGACACAGCATACATGGTGGTGTCTCTGGAAGAAACCGGACACAATGCCGGGCACTGAGGACACAACAGGTGGACGCCGGTGGGGATTTTCATCATCCTGTGCCGAGGATCAGCACACACTCGGTGCCTTTCCTTTTTCCCATCTAACAGTGTAAAGTCCCAGCAGGCAGGAACCACAGCTGCAAGGAGGCTGAGCACTGGGGTGGAAGACTCGCCCAATCAAAGTGGGAGAGAGCCACTTCTGAGAGGGTTCACAAGCACTGGCTCCCTCCATAGTGAACCGCTTCCTCCTGTGCCTTCTGAGCGTCTGCTGTACAAGCTGGGACCGTGCCTGGCTTAGATGGCTGGGGGACAGAGACTGTAGCATGAGCTCATGGCACGAGGCACTGAGATCAGACGTGCACACCAAGTCAGCCAGGGAAGGCACAGCGTGACGACCACAGACCATGAGATGGAGCAGTCAGACAGGACACCGTGCAGAACAGACACAACTGCCATGCAGACAAGACTGAGCCCCCAGGGGGACAGGGCCACCAGTGCCTTCGCAGAGGCACATGGCAGAGCAATAGGAACAAAAGCCTGAGCTGATCGTTGGTGGGCTATGCTGGGGTCAGGACACCAGCCTACCAGACCAGAAGGAGTTCCCTGGGGAGATGGAGGAAGAGACTTGAGGCAAAAACAAGGAGGATCTAACACAAGGCAATGAGTGTGGACTGCATTCACAGGCAGCTGGGAGCTGAAGGTTTCTGAATAGACCATTTTTGAAAATATGAATATACTACCTTCCTCCTAACTCTAATTCTTGGCATTTAAGCTATCTTTTACGTGTAATTTTTTTAGCATTCACGGTTAAATAATCAACTGCTTAAAAAAGTGTGATCTTTGTCCTCCCTCCCCCTATTGCCCTGAACAGAGCTTTGTGGCTGCGCCCCACACCAGGCAGACAACCACCACCTGCCCTTGTCCACAGCACCCCATGCCATCTGCACTCCAGTTGTACACTGGACTCCTCCCCGTCTCCAAATGGACCACCGCCTCTTCCAGGCTGAGCCTTGAACATGCCACTCCCAGCTGCCTCCTCCCTTCACTTTCCTGGCAAACTTGGTCAAGAACCAGCCTCAAAGTCAAGTTGCCTGTCATTCCTCTCCTGACCCCAGACCACGCTCCCACTACCCTTGGTTCCTGGCTCTTGTATCCATTACCTGTGGTGCAGCCCTCTGCCCGATCTGTGAGCATCTTGGGGACAGGGCCTGCTCTGCAGCCCAGTGCCCAGTCAGCAGCCTGGCTCAAATGACAGGGTAAGCAGCCTTCCGGGAACTTCGAGGCCTAGGAAGCATGCTCCTCTGTGTGAGTGTTGCCACCTGTGTGTTCTGGCGCTCCAATTCTCCACCCAACTCTCTCCCAGGCCCGGGCTCACTTCTCACCATGAACCTCCACAGCCTCTCCGCTGGGAGGGGCTCACTGGGACTCTGACCAAGGACCAGAACGACAGTGCTACGTGGACGCACAGGAAGCCTACATGAAAAAGCCGCGTACCTCGAGGTCTGGCAGTCACAAATACCTCCATGCTTTTCCAGGGTGAGCAAGATTTCATCCTTGCTGCCAAATCGGTCAGTAGACTAGCAAAGAAAAATAAGAAAATCTAAATAAGTAATCTAAAACTACCCCTGAAACACAATTTTTAAGAAGAAAATTTAGTTTTGCTTTCAAAACACATGAAATCAAATTATCTTTTATCAGTATTAACTTGGCAACTTAATCATCTATTAAAATAACCACTCTGAAATAGCAAAACTCAATAGATTATTCCTAAGTATAGTCTCAAAAATCACAAATTGGACACTGACCGAAAATGCCAATTTTTCCAAAAAGTGAGCAATTCCACTAAGATATTTTGCTTCATATCTTGATCCTGAATTAATAAGAACTGGCAATAAAAAGAAAAATCGACAGATTAAATCAGATGTTCAAAAGGGGAATTTAATCAAGAGAAACTTTTTAAAATCACGACAACGACTAAACAGCCAGATTTAACTGTACGAAGGTGATGGGTCCGTTCGGTACCTTGCTTACGATGACGGTTTCACAGCTACGTACGTATGCCAACATTTACGGAATAGTATGTGTTATATTTGTGCTGGACAATTTTTAGAATTACAGAAAGGTAGAAAAAGGAAAAAAACCCACTGTCCATATTCTGAGTTCCGAATTTTCAGATTTTACGCTATGCTTTTTCACTCAGGATTCAATTCATAAGTGACGTACTAACTACAACTGGCAGTGAACCGAGGCACGTGCGTGTGTGACAGCAACGGGACGGCCCACAACACTACCCACGGCACTTACTTCCTACCGTGCAAAACTGTCCAAACTTATTTTGGGACGCCACGCGAAGCCCATTATCCAGTGTGGTAATTTTGGTTTCAAACTTTTCCTGTCCATCGACTGTAGCAAACACGGGCGTGGGGACTCCGGGTAAGGGCGAAGAGAGGGGGATGCTGGGATAGGCACCGCCACTACTGAACTGTCTGCAGGCAGGGGCTCCGAACCTGAAGGAGAGGAAGCGGCCCAGTTACAACAGACTGGGAACAGTGGCACCCGCAGTGACCACTCAGGCGCAGTCGTGTTCTGTCTGCATTAAAAGTCAACACTGGGGCTGGCCCGGCAGCATAGTGGTTAAGTTTGTGTGCTCTGCTTCAGCGGCCCAGGGTTCGCAGGTTCAGATCCGTGGCGTGGACCTAGCACCGCTCGTCAAGCCATGCTGTGGGGGCATCCCACATGAAACAGAGGAAGACTGGCACAGAAGGTGGTTCAGGGCCCGTCTTCCTCACCCCCCCTAAAAGTCAACATCTCCCCCTCTGACAGTGTTTCCTCCTCCACAAAGCCCTAGTGCACAGCTGCATATTCTACTGGTAGGGCTTCCTAGTTCTTCCGCGTGAGCTGCGGCCACAGCATAGCTACTGCCAGATGGGTGGTGTGGCTCTGAGCCTAGGGAACAGAACCCTGGCCACTGAAGCGGAGCATGCGTAACTTTAACCACTAGACCATCACAGCTGACTCAACATCTCTCCTTCTAAAGGATTTGTTTCTACACGCCTCAAGAAGCACAGAGGAGTGATCAAGAGCACCACTGCTGGGTACAAATCCTGCTCAGCCCAGGGACGTGCAGCCAGCTGGTTCAGTTCTTTGGGCCTTAACTGCACCTCTGTAAACAGGCAGGAATAACAGCCCTCGCTCTGAGCGGGGCTGGGGGCTAAGGCAGCCCCTACAGACAGCACCGAGCACAGCCCTGCCCTTCAACAGCCACCCTGCAGTCTACAAAGCAGCCACACCCCTGATCTGGCCCGGAGGGCACTGCACGTTTGGTGTCCAATGCCCTCTCCAAATTCATCTCCTAACCCCGTTCCCCTTGCCCACTGCGGGTTCCCGTCAGTGGCCTGCTCCCACTCCTGGAACACACTCGGCTCTTCATCCCCAAAGTTTCTGTCTCACTGTTCCAGCCTGCCCTGCTCTCATCCTTCACCTCTTGACTTAAGTGTCCCCTCCTCAGAGAGGCTACCCTCCTCCTTCTCCCTGAAGTTAGTCTCTCCTGTCACGTTCTACCACCGAACGCTGCCCTTTACTCCACAGCAACCACACGATCGCTGATACTTTGTGCTCGCTGCCGTCTGTGTCCACTGCCTGGGGGCAGCAACGGCGTCTCTGTTCCCGCCGCGTCCCTGCGCCTGACGCAGCGCTTGTAATACAAAGAGCGGTCAACAGCTACCTGTTGCTGAGCGCTGCGCCGCTGTGGGAAAAGCCAGACACCAAGAGGCGAGGGGACAGCGCAGGGCAGTCAAGGGCACGGCTTTGGCGCCGGCAGAGTCCTGGCTCTGGGCTCTAAAGGCGCGGCCTCCTAAGGGGCAGCGGCAGGAAGGAGCCGAGGCGGGAAGACACGTGGCCTCGGACGAGCCCCGTGGGCCCGGGAGGACAGGGCGGGAGAGAGCCCGGCAACTGAGGAGAGAAGAAGCGGACGGGCCTCGAGGCCCGGGGCGCCAGGCGGGCAGGCGCCCCCGTCGCCCCCGGGGACCAGGCCGGGTCCCACAGCCCGACCCCCCGGTGCCGCCGTCCAGGCGTGGACAAAGCAAGGGCAGAGCTCCCGAGAGACGCGGGTCACGCCGGCCCCCGGCCCGCCCTCGCTCACCTCAGCCGCGCGCCGCCCCATGAGCCCGGGCCCCTCAGCAGCCGCGTTGCCGCCAGCACCACGGCCGCCATCTTGGGTCCCCGCCCACCACTTCTGTCGTCATTTCCGGGCGCGCCCCCGGCGCCCCGCCCCCCAGACCGGCGTGCGGGCGCGCACTTCCGGCGCCCGGAGCGGAAGCCCAGACGAAGGGCTCGCAGCGGCGGCCGAGTGGCGGGCGATCGGGTGGGCTACTCAGGCCGCGGCCGGGGCGGAGCCGGGGCCATGGGGCCGCCGCTGGCGGGCTAGGGAGGGCGGGCGCCGCCGGGCCCGCGGCGATGGCGGGTTACGCGCGCCGCCCTGGGGTCCCCCCGCTGTCCCGGGCCCGGAGCCTCGTCATTCCGGACGGTGAGCGGCGGCGGCCGGCCGGGCGGGGCGGGGCGGGGGGGGGGGGGCCGGACGGGCAGGGCAGGGCCGGGTCCCGCGGCCGGGCGGCCGGGCCGAGGTCCAGGCGAGGCGGCCCGGCGCGCGGTGAGTCGCCCCTGTCTATTACAGCTCCAGCGTTCTCTGAGCGCCGGTCCTGTCTCCCCCAGCTAGACTGTGAGCGCCCCCGTGGCAGGGACCCGGACTCCCACTTCTTCGGCATTCGGCCGACGTTTATGTGCTATGTACCCAGTCCGGTGCTAGCTTCCGTGGGAGACACAGGTGAGAGACAAGCCGCAGGGACCCGGGTGCCGGCACCACCTGTAGGTACCTCTTCTGTGGCCTTAACTCACCCCTTGACCCGGCGGTGAGCGCCGGGCGCCAATGTGTGCTGGGCACTGGGAAGACAGAGGTGGAGAGCGTCCCGCCCGCTAGGAGCTCACAGTCTGGTCTTAGGGAGACCCTCACCCCGAAAGACAGTTCCAGTATAGGATGATAGGTGCCGGAATAGAGGTATGCCCAGTGGGAGCACAGGAAACCTCCTCCTTCCAGGTGGTGGGGAGGAGGGCAAGGGAGCCTTCATTCAGTAGGCAGTGACTGGAAACAGCTGGAGCAATCCTCCGGTCACTGCAGCTGGGCAGGGCCAGCTTTGGTTCATCCTCATTCTCCCGGATCAGCTGCATCCAGGGTGTGCAGCGAGTGGTTAGCTGTCTGTGTCAGGGTCTGAGAGGCTCACGGCAACCCATGAGGGCATTCGGGTATCACAAGGCAGAGGAGGACGAGCACTGCCCCCCTGGGCATCCAGATCCCTGGGAGCTTTTTCGGAGTGAGAGATACCAGGGCCCTTGGAAGTCAGACCATTTCCAGGGGCAGGAGCCAGGGCTTGTGTTCTAGAAGTTCCAAAGCTATGAGAACCAACGCAATAGAGACCCCATGTCGGAAAACCTCTTGGCCATGAAGGCTTCCCGTGATCAGGGTGAGGTGACAATGTCTCTTCACAGATTTTGGCTATGGAAAGGGGAAGTGTACTAAGCAAGGTCCATCGGGAGCCCAGGAGACACATTTTGGAGGTAGAGTAGTTCAGTAATCTTTTTTTTTTCTTTCTGTCCTACACTCAGTGCCGGGCGCATGCCTGGTGGTGGGGCTGTCAGTTTGACAGCATATAACTGGTGTACCTGGAGCCTGAAAGAGCAGGTGGGGGTAGAATCCCACGGACTCGATCTTGACCCTGGGGGAGAAGGAAGAAGAGCACAAAGACCAGAGAACCTGAGACGTGAGGGACAGCAGAGAAGCAGGAAGTCACACCTGAGGGGTCTGAGGGGACAGCAGGAGCTGGGAGTACAGGAGCCAACTTTACACGAGGTTGGCTCCTGGGCTCAGCTCCCTGGGGGGCCGCAAGGGTGACAGTGTGGCCCGTTAGGTACTGGGAGAGCAAGAAGGAAGTGAGAAAGAGAAGGGAGTGGTGGACGGGCGCGTGGGGAAGAGGGTGGAGGGAGAGCAGTGATTCTCGACCTGGCTGCACTTCTGGAGCCCTGACAGCCCCCAGTGCACGCTGCGCCAGTCGGCCTGTCAGCCTGCACGGGAGCCGAGGCAGGTGGGAGTCAGCCAGATGCCCAGGTGGTCCCCATGGGCAGCAAGGTGGGGGGACCGAGGGGTGGGGAATGGGAAGGATTGTCGTGAATGCAGAAGCAGATCTGGCTTATTGGCCAGCTTTCCTGTTCACTGGTCTCTCTCAGTTCTGGTGGAACGACGAGGTGGCTTTGTCAATTTTAGACATGGTCGTGTTTTGGAAAGAGAGACGAATAGGAAAATTCCCTTTTAACGACTTTTGCAGGACTTTTTGCATTTATCTGTTGTTATTTCAGATGATAAACTTGAAGATCTGGAAGAGGCAAATCCATTCTCCTTTAAAGAGTTTCTGAAAGCCAAGAGCCTCGGCCTGTCGAAGGAGGACACGACCGACAGCAGAATTTATGCAAAGGTAAACCCGAGAAGGAGTCAGAAAGTCCTCCAGAGCATATTTCTTCTGACTTGCAGCCTTCCTTTGGAGGAGATCGTGCGGGAGTTGTGGGGCAGTGCGAGGCAGCTGCTAATGCTAGCGGAGAAATTGTGCAGGGTTAAGAAGCTGTTTGGATCCTTCCTGGCTCTCATCTTTCCTGGTCGACAAGATGAGGCCTTTCTTTGTGTTCCAACGCTGAACATCTAGGAAGAAAGGCCTGCAGTGGCTTCTGGGTCTAAGCCTGGCCTCCTGGTGTTTTCTTTAGGAAGCCCCGAGGCACTCACTGGGACTCGACCGTGACTCCCCAACATCCCAAACGGGGGGTTATGGCCTGGAATATCAGCAGCCGTTCTTCGAAGACCCGACGGGGGCTGGCGACCTTCTCGACGAGGATGAGGATGAGGATGATGGTTGGAACGGGGCCTACCTGCCGTCTGCTGTGGAGCAGAGCCACTCCTCGAGGGTCCTTGCCAGCACGTCGCCCTGCAGCACATATGTCTCCTTTTTCTCCAACCCGTCAGAGCTGGTAGGGCCCGAGTCTCTGCCCCCGTGGACGCTTAGTGACTCCGAGTCTCGCGTCTCTCCAGCGGGGAGCCCCGGCACAGACTTTGCAGCCCACGGAGAGTCTCTGGGAGACAGGCACCTTCGGACGCTGCAGATAAGTTACGAAGCAGTAAGTGAGGGGGGCTGTGCGCCGGTTCCCTGGCAAACAGTTCATGTCTGAGCAGCGTCTCGGAGAAAACCTGGAGCCTTTGTGTCCTTGATGGCCTGGGGTTTGGGCTCCAAGGACAAGACAGTGTGTGTGCGGCACCCTGCTGCAGAGTCTCCATGTGGAGTGCTCTCCCCGGTGCTGACCGATACACTGTGGATGTAACGAATTGAAAAGCGCTGTGCGGGTTTGTAAGGAAGGGCCCGTCAGGCTGTGCTGGAGCAAAGGTGAGCCCCACGAAGAACAGGATCCACTACAGCTGTCAGTGCAGGAACATCTCGCCAGGTGTTCTGAGTAGAGGAAATTTTTCTTAAACGTTATACTCACCTAAAAAAGAGTTAGAAGGGGGTGAGTAAGACTGCAGTCTCTGACCTTAGGCCTGTAAAAAGCAGACACCTTTATTCGTGGTGGTCTCTGTGAGTGGCCTCTAGGTTGACGCGCTGGAATATCTGTTGAGAAGTTCCAGCGGCAACCGCACCAGTGCAGACCCCTTGTGAGCGAGACGCCGAGTTTCTAATGAGGATTTTCTTTCTCTGCAGCTGAAAGATGAAAATTCTAAGCTAAGAAGAAAGCTGACTGAGGTTCAGAGCTTCTCTGAAACTCAAACAGAAATGTATGTAAGCTTTGAGTTAGGATTGCAATTTAAACATCTTCAACATGCAATCAATGTTAAAGCCATCGCGAAGTAATCCGAGTTGAACTGAGTCTGGGTTTTATTGTACGTAAATCCTCAGTATCAAACACGTTTCTTGTGTTCTGTGTAAGTTTATTTTAAACATTAGACCAAAATGGAGCACACCTGACGATAGAGCAGCAGGGCCGTCCCACGGCTCCCCGGTGCCCTTGACCATGAGCCGCTCCGGATCCAGCTCTGAGGTTACCACCTCAGGTCTGTGCCTCACTGAGCTTCCTTCTGAGACAGTGGGCTCTTGTGGTTTTTATCTAATCGATCCCATTAAAATGCCTGTTAGAAGATTCTTAGGGCTAGTCACGTGAGTTATTCATAACTTGGGTTTTTTCTTTAAAAGGGTGAGGACCCTTGAGCGGAAATTAGAAGCAAAAATGATAAAAGAGGAAAGTGACTATCACGATCTGGAATCCGTGGTTCAGCAGGTGGAGCAGAATCTGGAGCTGATGACGGTGGGAGGAGTTTCCTCGTCTGAAGGAGGGGGCGGGCCAAGCTGCTGTCAGGGGTGGAGATTGTGACGTGTTGTGCGGGTCACTCTAAGGTGACCGGAGTCCTGGGCGTTGTTGTTGCCAAGCCCTGCCCTGGGGGCACAGACCGTGGGGGCACAGCTTCTGTGGATGGAGGGCCCTCACAATGGGCTGTGAGCCCCCAGAACGCGGGCCTGCCTAGGGGAGCTGGTGGGCTCCTGGGTGCGGCTGGAAAGGAGGGGCACGTCCTGCTTCCATAGCACCAGGTCAGCCATGCTTTTTTTTTTTTTTTTGCTAACAGAAACGGGCTGTAAAAGCAGAAAATCACGTTATGAAACTGAAACAGGAAGTAAGCTTGCTCCAGGTAATTAGAGCAAAGGTGTTCATTGTTGTCACGTGCGTGCAAATTCCAGTAACTTCCAGAAAAGACACAATAGGACCTCTGCTGGGGTTCCTCCCTCCCCCAACAGATGAAGCACCTAAAATCAGGACAGTGTGAGCTCTCCCCTTGGGCCTTAAATGAAGGAAAGAGTTCCGTCCTCCTCGTCCTGTTCTGCTTAACGAGAGACTCGCGGGTTTACTGTTTCTCTGAGATGGCATGTGCACTGCTTCTGTAGATCGGTGCTGGGGATGGACTGAAGTCAAGGGGCCAGCCCTAGGCCTGTGCCCCTCAGGAGCCCCCAGCTAGGGGAGAGTCCCTGTTGTCACGGCCCCCACCCTCAGTTGCCTCTTCCAAGAGTGCCGTGTTTGCGTGAGTGGGACTGCCTTCTAGCTGCTCTCCTGTTCAGCCGTAAAAGTCCTTAATTGCTCACTGCCCCAGGCGCAGGTCACTAACTTCAAGCGGGAGAACGAAGCCCTGCGGTCGGGCCAGGGCGCCAGCCTGACGGTGGTGAAGCAGAACACTGAGGTGGCCTTGCAGAACCTCCACGTGGTCATGAACAACGCGCACACCTCCATAAAGTGAGTGTGGCCGGGAGCCGGGGGGCCTGGGCACCGTGAGGGCTGAGGCGCAGAGGCCCTCAGCTCTGGGGGGCCTCCCTCAGCAGGGGGTTTCTCGGGGCTCCAGTGGGGAAGTGTGCTCGACGATCCTGTTAACCCAGGGTCACAGCCGTCCTTACCTGGGAGGTGTGAATGTCTACATCAGGCAGGTCTGGGTCCCAGCTCCCTCACCTTCTGAGAAGCGAGTAACGATATTCCCCTCTTGCTCGAAGAGGCCCCTGGTTCGCGCTGGGCATGGGAGGAGCTCCTGGGGACTGGCAGTTGCTGCCTTATTAGTACTCATCATCATCTCCTGCCCCCTGGGCTGGGCTCTGCAAGGACAGCCGTGTCCAGCCACAGCATGAGCACTGGCGGGAATGACGAAGCCCGCTGTCTTTCAGTCGAGTGGGAGAGCCTCCTCAGAGTGAACCCAGGATGTTACAAACCTGGGCTTCCCCTGGAACTGCTTGGCTTTAGCGCTCTGTCACTGCTACTGAAGAGCCGTAGCTGCCCCTGACAGCCACATTTTCATTTTAGGCAGCTGGTTTCTGGAGCTGAGACCTTGAATCTCGTTGCTGAAATCCTTAAATCTATAGACAGGATTTCTGAAATTAAAGAGGAGGAGGAGTCGTCTTGAGAACCGCGGAGACACTCCAGCTAGCAGCCTGTTTACAGCCTGAGATCACTACTTACCGGATTTTAAAATGCCACTGTGTCTTTAAATGTGCAGCCTTCGCCCGTAGTAAATGTATTTATCATGAGATACTAATTTCATGACCTGAGACAGTATTACTAGCCACCTGCCCTGAGGAGCAGCTCCCGGGCGTGCACGCTGCACCTGTGCTGTCTGTGCAGCCCCCTCTTGTGAACGAACGCCCGCTGCTGTAGAGATTAATGATCTATCGGAAGACATTTTTATAAAAGCTGGCGATTTTTTAAAGTTACTAAACATGAGAACAGCAGTTCTGTAGTAAGTCTTTTCCATTACATTCGAGAACATTAATTGTAAGATAAGTTCGATTGATCATCCTTGACTTCGTAAGTAGGGAAAAACACTAAGCAAGCCGTGTTTTCAGCGGTTGCCTTGGATGGGGACCTGTGCCTTTCTGCCACCGGTCAGCACCCCTCTGGCCCACAGTCCACTCTGGCAGCCTTCACAGGGGTGGCTCCTGTGGTTGGTGGCCTGAGCATGGACGCCCCCCACGGTGGACACCACTGTCCTCCAGCAGGGACCAAGCTCAGCACAGGCATTCCATGGCATGAAGCCATCTACACACACCTCTCCATGGGCCTGCAGCTTTGAAAACCTGCTTTTGGCTAGAGGGTTTGATACCTGCCTCAAGTGGCATTTTGTACAACGAGGCTTAGACTGGAGGGACGCAGGGTGTGGGCAGAGCCGTCCCAGGTCACCAGGTCTCCGGGTGCCTTTCCACTGCCTTCCCACGTGGGGAGGCGCAACACGCACTGTGTGCCTTTTCGGCTCTTTTCCTGTAGATGTTATTTTTTTAAATAAATTTCCTTTTTCTCTCCTGTTCACATCGACAGCTTTCTTATTTAATAAATTCGAGAATTCATGTGCTCCGTCCCCTTTTTTGCCCCTGACTAAGCCAGTTGTTTATGCTTGAGAATCATGCTGCTGCCCTGTAAGGGCAGGGCACACGTTTGTGCATGTTATAACAGGTGATTTATGCTGATAAATGCAGTGTCAGTCCCCTGGTGCGTGGGGTCAGGGGTAGCCTCAGACCACTCCTGCCGGGGCCTGACCACAGTGACCAGCGCACTGTAAACGTGTGTCATGGAGATTCTTTGAGATTGTGTGGTTGAATTTTCAAAAGACATTTAAACTGCTAGACCCTCTGATCTTAGCTACAGGTTAGCATCTTCCAGAAGTCACCATGAACACGTCCCTTAGCCTACCCCCAGCGCCATCTCATGCCCCTGCCCGTTGGTGGAAAGTGGGTTCTGGGGTCTGTTGTTGAGCAGACTTCACACGGGGCGGTCTGGTAGGAAGGTGCCCAGTGAGGTTCCTCTGAGGGTGTGCACACAACAGCCCGGGGCTGGGGGAGGATGCCTCGGGCACCGCCCTGCGCGGGGGCATAGAATTTTACGGGGATGGGGGACATGCAGGGCAGGTCCCCTCACCCACTGCCCACAGGCCAGGGTGGGCCCCAAGCAGGGCTGCCGCCCAGAGCAACCCTCTAATCGATGTTCACCTGGCCCTGCACTTGAGCCCGCTTCCGCTGCAGCCGCAGCGTGGAGGTGCCTGGATGAAGCAAGGAGGGGATGGACACAGGCTGCCCGCACTGTTCTCTTTCTGTGTGTGTTCCAAGTGTTCCACAGCAAAACACTTAAAGATGCGGTTCCTTGGGACTTCCACCTGTTGAGCGACCGTGCAGCAGGTGCCGGGTATTCCAGGAGGTGCTCAGTAAGCACTGGAGGACAGGCAGCCTGGTGGGTCCACAGCCCACCTCACCTTCCCCCCCCCCCCCCCCCCCCCCCCCCCCCCCCCCCCCCCCCCCGACTGCTTCTTGGCCTCCAATCCCACCTTCTCAGCGGAGGGAGGCCCACTCACACTTTCCCAGCCGGCTCTCCCTCATCTTCTGGGCCTCGGCAGGGCATCACCCCTGGGAGGGCACCCTCCTGGACCCGGTGCTGAGAAGCCGACTGAGGGCTCCCGCCGGCCAGGTGTGGCAGGTGACCTCGTAGGTGTGTGCGGACTCTCTACCTTGTGCCCTTGGCCTTAAGGCCGACCACTTGCAGGCGCCATGAAAGCCCGCAGCCAAAACCCTACATGCCAGCATCAGGAGGACACCGGCACAGAGACATTGGAAGAGTGCGGGAGGTCACACCGCGCGGGAACCCGCTCTCCCCGCGCTGCCTGAGCCGGGCTCGCTGCCGCGGGACGGCGACCGGCCGACTCCGTGACCCGTGACCCGGCATGGGGGGGGCCTGTCCCCCATCAGGGCTGCCGGCCCGCCCAGCGCCTCAGCCGAAAGGCGCGCGGACGCGGGCAGCGCCGAGGGCGGTCGCGAGGGGGCAGTAGCCACCCGCCCGCCGCCGGAGGCCCCTCCCGCAGTGCGCCGGGCTCGTCCGCGGCCGCGGAGGCGGGACTTCCGGTGCGCGGCGACAGAGTCGCGCGGCCGCCGGAAGCGCTGGTACGGAGGCCGGGCGGGTGAGCGCGGCGGGCGGCCGGTGAGGGCGGTGAGGGCGGTGAGGGCGGCGAGGGGCGGGGGCCGTCTTCGTGTGTTGAGTCGGGCCCGGGAGCCGCCGCCGGGGCTGGGCGCAGGCAGTGCTGCTGCCGGAGCGGCCGACGGCGGGGAGGGCCGTGCGTGGGCCTCTGGCTCGTCCCCGGCCAGGCTCCCCGCCGCCGGCGCGCCCACCTCGCCCCTCCTGGCGCCCTGCGCTGCGGAGCCCCGGCCGGCGCTCCGGGAGGAGAGGCTCCCGGCCCTACGACGAGGGTCCCGGCGTCGCGCTGGGCTCGGCCGCCACGGGTCCGGGTCTGCAGACGGGGTCCCCTGCCGGTCCCAGCTCTGCGCCGGCCGCTGTGCTTCTGCGCCCGGGTTTCTCCCGGTCGTGGCCTCGTCCCTGTCCTCCAGGGCCTGCTGCCCGCCCTGCTCTTTCTGCGCTTGCCTGCTCCCTCTGACTTGGTTGTGGGAAGACCGGGACGGGCAGTTGGCCATGTTGGTGCCCGTCGGTCTCCCCCCGTGCGGTCGCAGCCTTGGAGCAGGCGGGAGGCATTCACGTGGCTTCAGCGCCGGACAGAGCAAAGAGCCGGGGTCCTGGGGCACGGGAGCCTAGGGCCTGCTTCGGGCAGGCTTCTGCCGTCCCCCCAGGCGTGTGTGACTGAAGGAGAATGGGAGCCCCTGGCGCCATGTGTTTCTCTCGTGTTGTACTGTGTTTAGGAGGCAGACCGCAGTCATGGATATAGATGCTGAAAGAGAGAAAATAACGAAGGAGATCAAGGAGCTGGAAAGGATTTTGGATCCCAGCTCCTCGAGTATCAACGTGGAGGTCTCAGAATCCAGTCTGGATTCAGACTCCGACGCAGGTAAGCTCCTGCACGCCACGGTTGGAACAACGGTGCCTGCCCTGGGCTCCTGCCAGCCACAGGATGCTGCAGGGCTGCTGGGCACAAGCCCTGGTTTCTCGCCAATACTGGCCTCTGCCTCTACTCCACTGGGCAGTTTGCTACTATCCCTGCTTCATTAGCCCCTGGATCTGCTGACTGTATGTGAGTGCCCTGCCCAGCCATAGGCATCTGCAGTGGGCTGCCCTCAGGAATCGATTGGAAGGTTCCAGAGCTTAGCTTTTCAGCCACCCCCATGCCTGGCCAGTCACCATAGCTGAGACCCCCACCCCCACCCCGATCTCTTCCCTGGGCTTGCCCGACTGCCCTCTGTCTGAGACCCCTGCTGCCACTCTGCCTACTCCATACGTACTCCTTTGTCCTCCCTTGGGCCCTGAGTGCCCTTCACTGCAGCTCTGAGTGGAGGCCTGCCTGCAGTGGCCGAGCCGTCTGGCCCTAGGCCTGCCCATCTCGCCCCAGGCCCCAGACCCAGCTCCTCGAAGTTCCCAACCTTTCACCCAGGGCCTTTCCTTCACCTGTTACCAGGGCCTCTGTGTCTGTCCCCTCCACCCTCACCAGCTCCGTCTCCCGTGGAGTCTCCCTTGATTGTCCCAGCAGTCACCGTGCCCTAGGGGCGCTTCACGTTAGGCTGCTGTCTTCTCTTTCTGGCTGACCCTGCCCTTGGTCCAGTACCCACCCTCCCAGTCAGTGAGTGTCAGCCGCAGGGTGCTGTCCCCCCCGGGCCCACATGGCCTCTGTCCCTCCCCCCTCTGCGGCTGCCCGGGAAATGGGCCGTGTGCTGCACCAGCTGATCGGTCTCCTCGGCGCCTGTGGCATCCCTTCACCAGCCACCCGTTTCCTTTGCTGGTCACCAACACGGTGTGCTTGCATTCCCACAGATTCACTGCCCGATGAGGACTCGGACACTGCTGGTCCCCTGATCTCGGTAACTACTGGCCTGAGCTGGCTGTGTTCGAGGCAGACACACCACCGTTCAGTGGGCCCAGGAGGGGGAGTACTTTGAGCTCAGCTTGGTTTTTCTGTGTTATAACAGTAAAGCGTGTTTGTTATTAAAGATGAAATGTTGTAAAGTATTAACTATCAAAATTAAAGGTGTCCCTAGAAACAATCACTGTCACTGGCTTGGTATTTGTGCCTCTTGACTGTTTTGAGCTTCTGCTAACGTGTTCATGTCACTGTGACATCTCATGTGGAAGACAGCAAGCGAGTGGCCTGGGTCCTGCCCCTTGTGGCTCACCTGTCTGTGCCTCGGTTTCCCAGTCTGTACAGTGGGGACAGTTGTAGCACAAGTCAGTTCGTATGTGTGAGTTCTCTGAACAGTGCCTGGCAAGTGATCACTCAGTTGTGCGGGTTGTTGTTAACCATGTTTTGCTTATGTTGGAATTTTATGTTATTTTGGAAAATCTTTGCAGTTTGCTTTTTCTCTTTCCCATCAGTGAGTGAGTCTAGAGTCGCCTCCTATTTTCAGTGGCTGATGGTCCCTCTGGCGTGGAGTCCCAGAGTTGCATAGTTCTTTAGCCTCAGTGCCTGCTGCTGGACATCTGGGTCGTTTCTAGTTCGTGGTTTTGTTGGCACCAAAGCAGCCGTCCTCACACGTTCTCACTGTCGTCCGCCAGCGATCAAAGTCACAGGAGTCCATTATAATGTTTAGATCTTACAGAAACATTTGTTGTAGAAAGTGAAAGGCATCTCATCACGCCTCCCCCACTCAACACGTGTTCCCAGAAGTTGAGTTTTCTTGTGTTGTGAATTAGGGAGCAGGCACACACGCTGCAGGGCTCAGTGTCAGGGTGGTCCTGTGCCAGTCCACTGGCCGGACGTGGGCTTGGAGGCTCGTTGCACCGCAGGACCCTGAGGACAGGGGAGTGTGGGCCCCGTTCTTCATCCACAGTTTCCCTCTCCTAACCAGGAAGAAGACAGGGCAGGTGAGGCCAGCAACGATGAGGACGACCCCAAGGAGAAAGCCCTCCCAGAAGACCCAGAGACGTGTCTGCAGCTGAACATGGTCTACCAGGAGGTTATCCAAGAGAAGCTGGCGGAGGTCAGCCTGCTGCTGGCCCAGAACCGGGAGCAGCAGGTAGGACACAGTCTGGCCCCAAGAAGTCCCCACAGCTAGGCCCCCAGGACCAGGACTTTGGGTCTGCTCCCGGCTGCCTGGGTCCCCTTCTCAACAAGGGGAGTTTCTATTGCCTGGCCCACACCTGGGCCCTTGTGTCTGCCACAGGAAGAAGTCATGTGGGACCTGGCAGGGTCCAAAGGCCCCAAGGTGAAGGATGGCAAGAGCCTGCCCCCAAATCTGTACATAGGGCACTTCATGAAGCCCTACTTCAAGGACAGGGTCACTGGAGTGGTGAGTGGCTGGGGCCTTGCTTTCATCAGTGAGGAGAAAGTCAGGCTCCGTGGGAAAGAGCTCTCGTCCCCACAACCTGCTCTGGGTGTTGTGAATTGCTTTAGATTCTTCAGGAGAATAATATTCGATCTCCTTAAAACCCTCTCCTGGGTCCCGGGGTGGAAGTCAAGGGCTTTTTCCTGGGAATAGGGCAAGCTAACCATTTCCTTGAGAGGTGGCGCCGTGGGTGGGGCAGGTTGGCAGGATTATTGGTCCTAGGAACAGAGGTCCCGATGTTGCTAATGCAGCCCTGCTCTCCTTTTCGACCCTCATGGGCTTGCTGATCTCACCTTGTGCCAGTTAGATCATGCCCCAGAGCCCTCACAAGGCAGCAGCTCTGGGTCCAGGCGTCCAGTGCCAGGCCTCCCACAATGCCAGGCTGCTCAGCGAGGCTGAGGGGAAGGGGTCCTGAGTCCTAGCAGGGATCCCAGAGGGACGTACTGGCCCCTTCAGGTGGAAACAACTGGGTTCTGTCCACGTTGTGCATTCTCCGACAGGGGCCTCCTGCCAATGAAGACACGCGGGAGAAGGCTGCGCAGGGCATCAAGGCTTTCGAGGAGCTCCTGGTGACCAAATGTAAGAGCCCAGGTGCCCACTGAGCTCGGGTGCCATGAGGCCTTTGGCACACCCAGCCTCCCCAGGCCTGTTTTGTGGTTCTCAGGCAGGTCTCCTGCCTTGATCCCTCGAAGCCCTTGCTTTTCCCACACTAAACGGGGTCTTTGTGAGGAGGCTGTCATGAGGGGCAGGCCAGGGCCACCACCCTCACGGTTCCCCCTCCAGTCTCTCCTGCCTGGTCCCTGAGCACGCAGCTCTGGAGGCCCTGCTGCAAGCTTGCGCCAGCCCCAGGTGGGGTCATGCTCCCTGGATAGAGGGCCCAGCGCCTGTGACCCGGCTCCCTTGCAGGCTCACTGCTCAGCCCGCATCCTGGGGCATCAGACAGCACAGCCAGCTCCTTGCTGCGGGCCTGGATGGATGATTGGCCCTCCGTGTTGTGGTGTGGGAGCCAGAGCTGATGCTGTGCGAGGGGTGTGGAGAGGATTGCGCTGGACAGCATGCATCCTGGGGAAGGTGCTCATGTGAGCGCTCCTCGTTTCTTCATTTCTCTTCAGGGAAAAGCTGGGAGAAGACCTTGCTGCGGAAGTCAGTGGTGAGCGACCGCCTGCAGCGCTTGCTTCAGCCCAAGTTACTGAAGTGAGTCTGAAAACAGCGAGCGAGTTTGGGATGGGCGGAGGCTCAGTTTAGGCTGTGCCTCTTCTCTTCGGGACCCCCTGCTCACAGCAGGAGAGGCACTGATCCCTGAACTTTCCCCACAAGGAGGCAGCCGAGCTTCGAGGTCAAGTGTGTGAGAGCTGGGTCAGCTGAGTGGCTGTGTTTAGTTGTGAGGCTTGGGCTTTCTCTCTGCCTGGGTCCTGGTTTCCACCTGTGACAATGGGGACCGTTCATGAGACTTTAATGTGTGTGCCGATGGGGTGACATCACATGACCAAGTCATGGCACCTGTGGCCAGACCAGGGGGTCCCAGGGTCACCTGCTGCCTCACAGCTTGATGTGCAGGTCAGGATTAGCTGCGGGGATAGCTGGGTCCCTCCTCAGGCTGTGGAAGCATTGGATTTCCTCCTCCCTGGCCTGTTCCAGGAGCAGTTATTTACTGTAGCTGGCGATGACAGCCTTAAGAAATAGCCTCTGGCCTTGATGCCGGGCAGGAAGGTCAGGACATCTGCGGAACACTGCTGAGTATGCCAGGCGCAGGGCTGGGAGCTGGGACACCGGGCTCCAAAGTGTGTGTGCAGCTGGTAATTATTCCCATCTGCATCAGCAAACACACTGCTGTACTAGCTGCTCGTGTGACCATGGTGACAGCTGAGAGAGGGGATGCTGCTCCTTTGTCTGTGGGCGAGGAAGCCAAGGCAGCTTGGAAAGACCAAGTAACCCGTCTGCAAGAGGCAGGGTGGGGATTCAAAGCAAGCTCCGCATGCGTGCTCCCCACCACTGTGCTGTGCTGTGTGGAGTAGCCAGCCCTGTGGGGTGCCCGCCCAGATCCACAAGAGGGCTGAGCCAGCCCCAGAGTCCCTCGGAGAGTGGCCATTGCCGCCGGTGACCCTGGCACCTCTGCCCTGCCTTCCAGGCTTGAGTACCTGCAGCAGAAGCAGAGCAGGGTCACGAGTGAGGCCGAGAGGCAGGTCCTGGAGACGCAGAGCAGGGAGGCGGAGAGCGAGGTCCAGGCTATCAAGTGAGCCGGGTCCTGCCGGGGAGGGTGTGGTCCTGGGTGAGCCAAGGGGCCTGGCGTGACCGCTGTGCCCTTGTCCCTCTCCAGCCAGCTCCCAGAGGAGGCCTTGCTGGGGAGCAGGCTGGACAGCCACGACTGGGAGAAGATTTCCAACGTTAATGTAAGCCACGGGGAGCACTATCCTGGTAGCCAGGGGCATGGGTTGGAATTGGCAAGGTCAGCTTCAGACTGTTTGAGGCCACGTCCTCTGTGGCCACCAGACCTGCCGTGACCCCATCTGGTCAAGTGTGTGTCTGGCAGCGAGGAGTGGCTTCACAGGGCCCTCCCTGCTGGTGCAAGGCGCCTCTTCTGTGATGGGCAGTTGCAAAGGCTTCAGGCTTTGCATTTGGAGCCAAATCTATGTTTTTGTCTGCATAAGCCTAGCAGAGGTCCCACTCACGTCTCCCCGTGTACACGCTGCTGGCCGTCCACACGGCGGCCTCCGCAGGCTGGGGTTCTCTGTTCTGTTGGTGCAGTTTGAAGGAGGCCGCAGTGCGGAGGAGATCCGCAAGTTCTGGCAGAACTCTGAGCACCCGAGCATCAACAAGCAGGAATGGAGTGGACAGGAAGTCGACCAGCTGAAGGCCATCGCTGCCAAGCATGGCCACCTGGAGTGGCAGAAGATCGCCGAGGAGCTGGGGGTAAGGACCTGGTGGGAGCCTCTGAGCCCCCCAGGGCAGTGTGGTTCTGTGGCTGGGAGGCCAGGCTGGGTTTGTGGTCTCCATGGGCTGCACGTCATACCACGGCCTGCTGGTCCCTCAGAACCTTCGAATTTCTTCGTCTTGCTGCTTTTGATGGTGTGGCCCTCGGGGAGGGTAAGCCCTGCACGCCTCCCTGGGCTGAGTCTTCAGGAGCTTTGCGCTCCTCAGTGCCTGTTGCCTCATCAGACCCCTCCCTCGCCCGTCCTCCATCTCTCTCTCTCGATCACTCAAGAGGAGTTTGTCTTGCTGTTTGAGAAGAACTCTTGTCCTCGTTCCTTTTGGGTTCTCCTCTTGATTTTCTCATTTCCTCAGGTGAGGCCTGAGTTCTTCACTTGGCCACTGTCTTTAGTAATGAAGGGATTTAAGGCCCGCTTTTCTAGGAACAGTTTGGCGTGAATGTGCTTTTTATAGATTTCTAGAGTGGCAGTAGTTTCAGTTTTCATTGCCCCTTTGGATCTTAGTTTGTGTAGGAATATACTTTCTCATTTTTAAATAGTCGGGTTTCTCAGAACGGTTTTTCTTCTTTAGTTTGAATTTTATTGGCTCCTGACCTGGAAATGTGATCTGTAAAATTCCCATTTTTTAATTTGTCACTTTTATGGGTAAGCATGTGATTGCAGCAAACCAAACTAAACCTACCAAAACAAGTTAAAAACAGAAGTGTGTTCTTTCCTCTGAGGATCTAGGGTTCCACGTAAGCTTATTAAATTGACTTTGCCCATCGTATTATTGAATCTTGCTCTCTAGAGCTGTTAGTTCTGAAAGAGCTGTGTTGATGTAGCTTGGATAAAACCTGGCATAGGAGGCCGGCCCGGTGGCATAGCAGTTAAGTTCGTGCGCTCCACTTTGGCAGCCCCTGGTTTGCAGTTTCTGATCCCGGGTGTGGACCTATGCCACGCTGTGGCAGGTGTCCCACATATAAAAATAGAGGAAGATGGGCGTGGATGTTAGCTCAGGGCCAATCTTCCTCAAAAAAAAAAACCAAAAACAACCTGGCATAATAACATTAAAAGGTCATTTTCTCCTCGCATCTCTAATAGTTTTTTTTATATCTTTAGCTGCTATGTGATTTGGTACACATAACTTTATGCTTTCATTTATTTAGTAAATTATGCTTTTCTTTTTTTGAGGAAGGTCAGCCCTGAGCTAACATCTGCTGCCAATCCTCCTCTTTTTGCTGAGGAAGACTGGCCCTGAGCTAGCAGGCGTGCCCATCTTCCTCTACTTTATATGTGGGATGCCTACCACAGCATGGCATGCCAAGCAGTGCCATGTCCGCACCCGGGATCCGAACCAGTGAACCCTGGGCCGCCAAAGTGGAACGTGTGAACTTAACTGCTGTGCCACTGGGCTGGCTCCATAAATTATGCTTTTTAAAAAGTCATTTTATATCTTTATTTCCTTGTTAGGTTTTTTTTAAGACTTTATTTTTTTAGAGCAGTTTTAGGTTCGCAGCAAAATTGAGAGGAAAGTACAGAGATTTCCTATATGCCCCTTGCCCCGACATATACACAGCTTCCCCCATTATCAACGTGACTTAACAGAATGGTGCGTTGACCAAGGATGGACCTACATTGACACATCATGATCACCTGAAGTCCATAGTTTACATTAGGGTTCGTTCTTGGGGTTGTACATGCTGTGGGTTTGGACTAATATATAATGACACGTCTACACATCATGATATCATCAAAACGGTTGCACGGACCTAAAAATCCTCTGTCCTCCATCTGTTCACCCCTCCCCACCCCATCCCTGACAACCGCTGACCTTTTTATTGTCTCTCTAGTTTTGCCTTTTCCAGAATGCCCTATAGTTGGAATCGTACAGTAGGCAGTCTCTTCAGAGCGGCTTCTTTCACTTGGTCATATGCATTTAAGGTTCTCCCGTATCTTTCGTGTCTCGATAGCTCATTTCTTTTTAGCACTGGGTAATGCTCTCTTGTCTGGATGGACCGCAGTTTATCTACTCACCTACTGAAGGACATCTTGGTTGCTTCCAAGTTTTGACAATTATGAATAAAGCTGCTGTAAACATCCGTGGACAGGCTTTTGGGTGGATGGGAGTTTTCACCTCCTTTGGGGAAATACCAAGGAGCGTGATTGCTGGATCGTATAGTCAGAATAGGTTTAGTTTTGTGAGAAACCACCAGACTGTCTCCCAGAGTAACTGTGTCACTTTGCGTCCCCACCAGCAGTGAGTGAGCATTCCTGGCTGCACTTCTGCACTGACATTTGGTGCTGTCAGGGTTCCAGATTTTGGCCTTTCTAGTAGGCATGTGGTGATATCTCATTTTAATACGCATTTCCCTGATGACATGTGTTCTGCTCAGATGCTTATTTGCTATTCGTATATCTTTTTTGGTGAGATGTCCATTAAGGTCTTTAGTCCAATTTTTAATCAGATTGTTTTCTTATTGTTGAGTTTTAAGAGTTCTTTGTATATTTTGGGTAACAGTTCTTTATCAGATATGTCTTTTGTAAATATTTTCTCCCAGTCTGTGGCTCGTCTCATTCTCTTGATGTTGTCTTTTGCAGAGCAAAAGTTTTTAATTTTAGCGAAGTTCAGCTTATCCATTATTTCTTTCATGGGTTGTGCTCTTGGTTTTGTATCTGGAAAGACATCACCACACCCCAAGCTCATGGCTGAGCAGATCCACACATCCAACCACACCTGTTCTCTGTAACCCAAGAGTGTGCTTTAGATAAACAGAGCGTTCCAATACCATCGGTCAGCTCTTGGAAAACCCCTTGCCCGTAAGGAAATGAATGAGGGGACAGAGTGGGGCCACAGTGTCTACTGTGTAGACTGAGGGTCTATTTGCTGAGCTGAAACATGAATGAGAGCTGGGAGACAGTCTCTCTGGAACTCCCTCCATGGGTGTCGCCTGAGACATGGATGCCACTCCCAGGACAGTCCCAGCACCCTCCTTCAGACGTGCCCCTCTCAGCTGCCACCCGATGTAGGCTCCAGAGAGACCAACTTAGAGCTGCTGAATCTGCGACAGTGCTGGCAGCCACATTTAAGAGTCCTGTGCTGTGTATGGTGGCCCTTCTCCTACACTGTGCCGAGAGGGAAGTTTCCGTCGAGTATGTGAGTTTGCAGTTTAGTCTTAGTGTCATGTCAGTGGAGTATTCTTGTGAATTTTTCTGAATGTGTTTCCTCTCTGTAAACATCTGAGCTGGTCTCTCATGGTCCTCTTCAGCGAGTCCCGGGGATGCTCTCCACCATCCCCACAGGGGGCCAGCCGGAGTGAGGCGAGCACTGGTTCACAGAAGTGCGTTACCGCCTGGCGCTTAGGGCCCAGCTGTGCCTGGACGTCCCTCTGTGCATGGTGAGCACCCAGTGACACGCACTTTGCTTTGCTTTGGGCCTTGGGAAGACCAGCCGCAGCGCCTTCCAGTGCCTGCAGAAGTACCAGCAGCACAACAAGGCCCTGAAGCGCAAGGAGTGGACGGAGCAGGAGGACCGCATGCTCACCCAGCTCGTCCAGGAGATGCGCGTCGGCAGCCACATCCCCTACCGGAGAAGTGAGTCTGTGCCTGCTGTGCCCTGCCGCTCCTGGGTCCCAGGCCACTGGGCTTGCAGGAACGTCCTGTGCCCTTGGCCTGAGTCCCCTCATATGTGAAAGTGAAGGTTTGCGGGGACAATTCACCAAATGTAGTTGAGAGGCTGGAGGAAGAAGTAAGGGGTCACGTAGTCCCAGGTGTCCCACGGTTCACTTCTTGGTAGTTAGAGTGACTCCTTTCTGGGGGCCCCGGGCATGCAGCGCCCACACGGCTCCTCTGCCCCCAGTTGTCTACTACATGGAGGGGAGAGACTCCATGCAGCTCATCTATCGGTGGACCAAGAGCTTGGATCCCAGCCTGAAAAAGGGGTTCTGGGCCCCAGAGGAAGATGCGGTAAGTTTGCAGGACCTGAGGAGAACCATCCTCTGGGACGTTAACCTGGACGCCTTGATTGGCCCCGAGTCCCGGACGTCCCCTTCTTAAACAGACTGAATTGAGGGTGGGAAGGCGGCGACTGTGCCCACAGAGACATCATCTGCTTGTCCCTTCCTGCAGAAGTTGCTTCAAGCAGTTGCCAAATACGGGGAGCAGGATTGGTTTAAAATTCGGGAAGAGGTGCCAGGTAGGAGCGATGCCCAGTGCCGAGATCGGTGAGTTGGGCAGTGCTGGGCGAGGGAGGGCCTTGCTGGGGTCGCTTCCGTGTAGGCCATGGGGCGGGCTAGGAGACCGTGGCCCAGGGTGATCGGCTGGTACAGGAGGATGTGGCCAGGGGCCCTTGAGGCACTAGGGTTGGCCCAGGCACGGAGCAGGACAGCTATGTTTTTTCAAATCAGACTTTTATACGGACTCAACTTGACATGCCCTGCTTGGCCGTTTCCATGAGTCCTGGTGTCTGAATTCCTCTCCCGGGTCACAGCCTGGCAGGCAGCTTCAGCTCTCTCCTTCTCCAGCCTGCCTGCTCTGTTTTTAAGCAGCTTTATTAAGATATAATTTATGTACCACACAATTCATTCCTCCAAAGTGTGTAGTTCTCTGATTTTAGTGTATTCATTGAGTTGTGCAGCCATCCCACAATTAATTTTAGAACATTTTGATCACCCCACAAAGAAACCCTATCCCCCCAGAAAAAAACAAACATCTCAATTCAGAAACGGGCAAAGGACTTGAACAGATGTTTCTCCAAAGAAGATATACAGAGTGCCAGTAAGCGCATGAAAAGATGCTCAACATCATTAGTCATTACAGAAGTGCGAGTCAAAACTACCATGAGGTACCGCTTCACACGCAGTAGAAAACTTACTTTTTTTTAAATGGAAAATAACAGGTGTTGGCGAGGATGTGGCGAAATTGGAGCCCTTGTGCACCTTTGGTGGGAATGTAAGATGGGGCAGCTGCTGCGGAAAACAGTATGGGGGTCCCTCAAAATTTTAAACATAGAACTGCCATATGACCCAGCATTTCCACTCCATCCCCAAAGGAGTTGAAAGCAGGGGCTCCAGCAGATGCTTGCACACTTGTGTTCATACCAGCACTATTCATCACAACCAGAAGGTGAGATAGCCCAAGTGTCCATCGACAGATGGTGGACAAAGGGCGAGTCTAAAGTCGTTTGGACGATAGGATGCTATTTGGCCTTAAAGAGTGAAATTCTGATGGGTACTACAACATGGATGAACCTTGGATGTTTGTGTACACAAATGAACATCTGTGTACAAGTTTCCATGTGGGTGGGTGTATTCATTTCTCTGGAATTGTAAGGTCACATGGCGACTGTGTTTAGTCTTTTGAGGATCAGCCAGATGTTGTCCACCACACCGCACCATTTACCTCCCCCACAGTGTAGGAGGCACCGGTCTCCACGTCCTTGCCGACACATGTTATCTGCTTCTGGCCCTCCTGGTGGGCGTCCAGCGTCTCATTGAGGTTTCGGTTTGCATTTCCTGACGGCTAATGATGTTGAGCATCTTTGGTTGTGCTGATTGGTCTTTGGCACATCTCTAGAGAAATGTCTCCTTGTGTCCTTTGCCCACTTTTACAGTTGAGTGATTTGTATCTGTGTTAACGACCTGTGAGACTTCTTTGTATATTCCAGACATGCGTTGGTCTCCCCCAATCTGTGGGTTGTCCTTACACTTTGTTGGTGGCGACCTTCTGAGGCACAAAAGTTTTCCATTTTGATGCAGTCCATTTGTCTGTGTTTTTCTTTTGTTGCCTGTGCCTTTGGCGTCCCGTCTCGGACACGATTGCAGAGGCTGGGAAGCAGTGGGAGGCCGGCTCGTCATCCACAGTGTCCCTTTGTTTTCATGTCACTCTCAGATATCTCCGAAGGCTGCATTTCAGCTTGAAGAAGGGGCGATGGAATTCAAAGGAAGAGGAAAAGTTAATGGAATTAATAGAAAAGTACGGTGTGGGTGAGTTCTCGTCGAGGCCTTGGCTCTCCTCGGGTTCCTGGTGGCCTTGAGCTCCGCGGGGCTCAGCTTGCTGGACCCCAGGCTGCCTCCCTGGTCATCCACTCTCCTGCGCTGTTTCTCGTCGTCTCAGCAGATGGCGGTGACTTTTCCATTTCACAAAGTAACTCATGTTCGTTCTAGAAAATGTAGACGTGGAGATGTACGAAAGGCGGAGAGTGACGTAACTACTCTCGTCTGCCACAGAGGTCTGCTGGGGCCGGGGTGCCGTCTGCGCCTGCTCCATGCAGGCTGCTTCTCCGGGGCGAGGGGGCTTTTTCTTTATTTTAATGGCTGAGATTCTTTTCTTTTTTTCACATTGGCACCTGAGCTAACAACTGTTGCCAAGCTTTTTTTTTTTTCTGTTTTATTTTCTCCCCAAATCCCCCCAGTACATAGTTGTATATTTTAGTTGTGAGTCCTTTTAGTTGTGGCATGTGGGACGCTGCCTCAACATGGCCTGAGGAGCAGTGCCATTCCTGTGCCCAGGATCCGAACCACCGACACCCTGGGCCACCGAAACGGAGTGCGCGAACTCTACCACTCGGCCGCGGGGCCGGCCCCAGAGGCAGCTTTTTAAAACTGAATACCTTTTTAAATTTAACTTAATTGAGCTGGCTTGTTTTTTTACTTTACAACGTATCGTTATGCTCTCTGTTAGGAATATTTCTCTGTGTCTACACAGTCTGTGTTCTGTCATTTTCTTTTTTTTTTTTAAAGATTTTATTTTTTCCTTTTTCTCCCCAAAGCCCCCCGGTACGTAGTTGTATATTCTTCGTTGTGGGTCCTTCTAGTTGTGGCATGTGGGACGTTGCCTCAGCGTGGTTTGATGAGCAGTGCCATGTCCGCGCCCAGGATTCGAACCAACGAAACACTGGTCCGCCTGCAGCGGAACGCGCGAACTTAAGCACTCGGCCACAGGGCCAGCCCCATGTGTTCTGTCATTTTCCATAACCACATCCTAGTTCCCTAAGCTCTGGATAGTATAGTAGAGAGGTTGTTCACCAGCTTCCTGTTGATGGACGTTTGTTCCTCAGTTTTTGCTGCAGGCCTGAAATGAGCTGAGGCTTCAATAGCTAAATCTTTGCTTATATTTGTAATGCCTCCTTAAAAAAATTCTGGATGTGGCGTTGCCAGGTTCAAAGGTAGGCAAAATCTTAGGCTTCTGTCGCGTGGTCAGACTGCCCTATGAGAGCCGCATGCCGGCTCCCCTCCTAGCAGCACTGTCTGGAAGAAAACAGTAAATAAATTGAAGTTCTGGTTTAGAAGCAGGTATGCAAGGGCTATTTCTACATAAATGTGGATGATTTTTCTCTCGTGGTTGTACATTTGCTAGAACTTTCCTAAGAGGCTAATAATCCATTGAGAATCTGATGCCCATCTTCTTGGGCTCCTCACATGTGGGAAGCAGCCTGAGGGCGGCCAGCAAACCCCGTTCTGGTGGACACGATGCAAGTGCATCTTAGAGAAGAGCGCTTCTTCCAAGCTGGTAAACCGGTGTCTTCAGAACTATTGGTATGAAGCAACTTCCATGTTGTTTTGCTTTTGTAGGTCACTGGGCAAAAATAGCTTCTGAACTACCCCATCGGTCAGGCTCCCAGTGTCTAAGCAAGTGGAAAGTCATGGTCAGGGTGAGGCTTTACCCACGGCCATCACCAGGCCCCTCGCCTGGGTTAGCATCACTGCTGGGCAGGCTGGGGGAGCGTGGGCGTGGGGAGAGGGGAAGGGAAGTCTGGTTTCTGGCCCTGGCATCGCTTCTTCCAAGAGGCCAAGGGCAGAGAGACCCAGTCTGGTCGGCAGCTGCCCTTGCCTCACAGCAATGGGGAAGGCCTGCTCAGCACAGCACATCCAAGCCCCCTCCAGCCCCTGCGCACATGCCTGCTTGAGGCCCCTCCCCAAAGGGCCAGCCCGCCTGCCTGTCATCCCTCCGCAGTGAGCCTGGTAGCCGAGGCCTCCAAGCAGCCCTTCCTTCCACAGAAGAAGCAGAGTCGGGGGAGGAGGCGGCGGCGGCCCCCTCGCAGCGTGCGGTGGAGTTCCAGCAGCGAGGACAGCAGCAGTGGGGACAGGAGCAGGCGGGGCAGCAGCAGCAGCAGCAGCAGCAGCAGCAGCAGCGAAAGCAGCGAGGACTCAGAGCCAGGGCCAGAGGAAGCCCAGGAGGGTGGCCAGGCACTGCCCTCGGCACAGCACGCTGTGCCGGACATGGACTTGTGGGTTCCTGCCAGGCAGAGCACCAGCGAGCTGTGGGGAAGGGGGGCAGGGGGCTGGCCAGGATGCTCCGCTGCTTCCCCCAGCCCTCCCAAGGGCTCCAGCGCTGCCCAGGGTGGTCACCGGGAAGCTTGCACCACAGAGGAGGCGGGCCAGGCGCAGGCCCCCACCAGGGCGCATAGCACCAGCCTGACAGGCAGCGAGTACACCCGCTCAGTGGACACTCACCCCGAGAGCTCAGAGGGGCCGGCAGACGAGGTAGGCCACAGGCCCCAGTGCACGCCCAGATTTGGGCTGGGGAGGTTGTGCTCTCCTGCTCGAGAGTTACTGAGGCTGGCTCTCAGGGACAGTGGGCTGGCCTCATCTCATGCCAGCAGTGTTCCCGTGTGGGAGCAACCCCCCCCCCCCCCCGCCACCCCTGCTCCCTGGGGTGTTCACTTCTGGCCCGTTTCAGGGGACTTGAGCTCGGGGCAGCAGCCTTCTTCGTTGAGGCCAGCACCCTCCACTGCCCCCAACTCATTTGCTTTACAAACCACACTGGAGCATTGCTGGGGGGCACTTTAACTTGGACCCATTTCTGAACCATTTCACCCCTGAGCTGGGGGGAGGGGTGGGGGCAGCGAGGAGGAGCTGTTTGCTCACGGCTTGCACAGGTCAAGGAGGTCCCTGGGGGGCCCACTGTGCACCTGCTCAGGTCCACCTTAGCTACACACGTGTGTGCCTGTCCCAGTTGGTCTTGGGGGTGTTGGACCTGGGCATAGGCACAGTTCTGGCCACGTCCAGAGTAGCAGTCTGGATTGAAAAGGCTGGTCCATCCTGGGAGAGATGGGAAGTTCTCCTCTGTGACAGCCGAGGGGACAGTGGACTGCCCAGACAGCCAGCAGAGCACACACGCACAGCTCCTGTGCTGCACTGGGTGTGTGACTGCAGGCTCCTGAGCTCGAAGTCAGAGGCTGCTGCCGTCGAATTTATCTCAGGCATTTTGGTGCCATGACTCAGGGAGCTGGCTGGGGGAAGTATGGACCCTCTGTCAGTCCTGGGTGCAGCCAAACTAGGCAGGCGTCTCAGAGCCAGGCCTTAGGGACCTGCCACCCTCCTCTCGGGGAAGTCCTGCCTGAGGCCACCACACCTCAGAGAGCGTTTCCCACCAAGCCGGGGTGCAGCTGTGGTACACTTTGAGGTCTGGGCAAGAAGGTGGGGGTGCTGCCCTGACAGCATGCCTCATGCCAGGGCTCCTGGCCTGTCCACCCTCATGGGGTCTTTTTGTCAGAGTGGGAAGCGTCTGCTGAAGGTGCCCTTGGAGACTGTGCTGCAGGTGCTGAAGACCAACACGGCCACCCGGTGCCGGACCCTGGTAAGGCTGCTGCAGCCACATGCGACACCCACGCACACTCACCGCCTCGATGACCCCAGCCCCCGTCCCCTTCACCCCCATCCCCCACTCCCTCTCTGGTACCCAGCAGCTCCAGAGCTGAGCCTGGCCAGGAGGCCCAGGTGCCTTTCTCCCTCCACAGAAGGAGAAGCTGAGGCAGCCGCACCTGCTGTGCTCACCCCTGGGGGAATGCCCCAGTGGCAGTGGCGTGTCCGGGCCCCGTGTGCGGCAGCTGTGGCACGGTTCTGCCAGGAGCAGGCAGCGGCGCCGAGGACCCACCCTGCAGAGGAGACTTCTTGAGCGCCAGCTTCTGATGGCTGTGAGCTCGTGGGTGGGCGACGTTGTCTTGCCTTGCACTTCCCGGAGGCCCACCGTGGTGCAAACTCAAGGTGCTGCTTCTAGGGCACCTCCTCTAGGGCCCAGGGGCAGGGGAGAGGGCAGACAATGAGGAGCGACCTACAGACATTGGCGGTCTGCCCTGCCCTGTCAGGGAGGGGTGGAAGTGGGAGGGCTTCTTTGGGGCCCCCTGTCTGGTGCCAGTCTCGGGGCCCGAGGGGAGAGGGGCGTTGGTAGCTGGAGCCACTTTGCACGTGTGCCCTGTCCCCACAGCCGACCGCATCAGGAAGCAGCTGCAGGAGGCCCACCTGGCGAGCACCCCAGCGTTCACCCTCTTTCTTCAGGTAGGCCACTCCGTGCGGTCTTCTTCTCTTGGGCTTTGTTTTTTCGGTGAAGTTTTGAAGTTTGCAGTGGATTCACTTCTTAAAGGCCAGCTTTCTAAAAAACGGTCTTTCCATGGCGTGCGACTTTTCGCAGCAGGTTGTTGTGGAAGGGACAGGGCGCTGGGAGCCCCAGTGTGTAAATGGAAGCTGAGTGAGCAGAGAAGCCTGGAGCACACTGGGAGCACTATACAGGTGTCCTCAAATGTCTGAGTCAGAGGGCAGGGAAGGCAGCCACACCCGGGACAGCCCCGAGGACCCGCATCCAGGCTCGGGCTGGGGCGAAGTGCTGCTCACGGCCTCGAGGGGCTGTGCCGGGCTCCAGCCAGTTCCTCTGAGGCTTTGGGTCTGCTCCGGGAGAGCAGCTGTGGTCAGGGCTGGCCCAGGTCCCACTGCAGACACCTTCATCATCTGATCCTTTGGGGTGGTAGGCCTCCTGTCACACGTCATGTGTATGTCACACATGTCCCTCAGCTGTTCCAGATTGACACTGCCGGATGCATGGAGGTCGTTCGAGAGAGGAAGGCTCAGCCACCCACCCTGCTCCAGGCTGGCACTCGGGACCCGCTGACGCGGCCTTTGCAGGTGAGACGTGAGGGTGAGCCCCAGGTGTGCACTTGCCTGGCTCCTGCTCTTCCCTCCCACCCCCAGAGGTGGGAGTGCTGAGGGCAGATGACGTTTGTCCAGCCTGGGGGCAAGGTGACACCAGCTCTTTTGAGAGACGAGAGGCGTTCCCGGTCCCCATGGCAGCTGAGGTCCACCCCTGAGAGCAGCCCCTGTGCGCTCCTGGCCCCTGGCTAGGAGGCAGCCCCCTCCTCCCAGCAGCCCTGAGGGGCTTCACAAGTCCAAGGGGTGCAGGGCCAGCACCAGCACTCCAGCCCACCTGGCCCCCTGGTACCCCGCATGTGCTTCTTCTCCCACCCCACCCCTGGGCAGAGGCCACACGGCCCTTGGGTACCTGCTGCTCTGGGCACGGGCCTGCTGGGGTGAGGCACCTGATGCGAGGCGCCAGGCCCTCAGGATCTGTCAGTGAGAGGCCGTGTCCCTGAGCCCAGCCACTGCTGGAGCAAACAACAAAATGGTGTCATAGTCTGAGGACCACATCTGGCCCTGTGGAGGGCAGCCAGGCCATGGAGCCCCTGTGCCCTCCTGCTTGACCAGCTAGGCCCTCACCTCTCCCTGCAAACCCCATACAGCCCTGAGCCCCCCGAGACAGGGTTTCCCGAGGGGGCCTCTGGATGGGGCTGTGTCAGGAGAGAGGCAGGCTCTGGCACTGGGGGCCTTGTCCCCACTGCAGGCAAGAGGCGAGTGACAGTCTTGCTGGGGGTGGAAAGGTGGGTGTGGGTCCCTGGGGACCCCTCTGAGGTGCCAGCCCTCCCCTCCCTTCTTTTTCAGGTGCTCTCAAGCGCCCGGAACACCCCAGGTATTGCGTGTCCATCTCTTCCTCTGGCCTAGCTGTTTCTGTATAGTGGGAAAAGAGCCACACCTGTCACGGGCTTTGAATTGTGGGCTCCAAGCAGTGTCTGTGGCTCCTGGTGACGACGGGTCTTTTTGGAATACCATGGCAGGGACAGGAGCCTGGCTGGCGTGAGCTGGTGGGGCAGCCCCTTGGGCTCCCACCGCCTCGCACAAAAGGTCAGCCCTCAGGCTTGGCCAGCACAGACCCAGAAGGCAGGGGGCCTCTCCCCACACCAGCAGGATTGGGCTAGGGTCTGGGATCCTAAGAGGATGCAAGGAGTGGAGGGCAGTGGGTGCCCAGCAGTCCTTGATCTGAGGATGTTCAGGTTGTAGCACTGAGATGCGAGGCAGGCTCAGGCTGGGCTTCCGCATGGTTCTGGTCCTCGACAGGCCTGGCCGCCTGCTGCCCTGGCTGTGGCCGGCCACTGTGTGGGGAGGTCTGTGAACATGCAGCCAGAGTGACAGGCCCTCTTGGCCTGGAGGCCAGGCTCCTGCTTCCACACTCCAGCAGCTGTCGGGGGCCAGTCACCTGAGCTCATCAGCATGTGTTCTTGCAGGCTGCCTCTTCCAGAAAGCACCAGTTCGAGAAGTTGCCAAGAAGAGCACCATCCACAGAGAGAGAGAGGGGCTGCAGGCCCCCCGCAACGAGTCCACACCACAGGCACCCCCACCAGCACCCTGCGGCCCCCGGCCCAAGCCCAAGACGGTGTCCGAGCTGCTTCGGGAGAAGCGGCTGCGGGAGGCCCGAGCCAGGACAGCCGCCAAGGGCCCTGTGGTCGTCCCGCCCCCGCTGCTGGGCTCTTCGCCTGTGACCCTCCAGCTCCGTCTACCACTGGTCCCCCAAGGCCCCCCAGCCTCAGGTCCAGCCGTCTCAAATGCAGCTCTCTGTGGGCCTGGGGCCCCTGCAACAGCCAGTGCAAGTACTCCAGGCTCCTGGGCCTCAGCCAAGGACGAGAGACCCTACACCCTGCAGGCCTTGGCCCTGGCTGTGAAGGCCCCAGCTGCCCCTGTTGCTTCCAGGGCCCCAGTTCTGGGCCCTGGCCAGGTCCCTGGGGGCTGCCCTCTGAGCAGTTTCGGACAGTCTCAGGCACCTGCCACGTCCCGGAAGCAGGGCCTGCCCGAGGCACCACCCTTTCTCCCTGCAGCTCCCAGCCCTACTCAGCTGCCCATCCAGCCCCTCAGCCTGATGCCAGCTCTGGGCACGTGCAGGACTGGGCCACACGTGGCAGTCAGCAGCCCTCTGCCCGTCACCTGGGTGATCACAGCCCAAGGCCTCCTCCCTGTGCCTATGCCAGCGGTAGTGGGCCTTCCCCAGCCAAGAGGGACCCCTGACCCCAAAGGGCTGTCAGTGACTCTGCCACCCTCCGTGACTGAGACTCAGGCGGGCCAGGGCCCCAGGCTCCCTGGGTTGAGCCACCCTTGGCAGCCCCCAGCCAACAGGGACACAGAGTCAGACCCTCCATCCAAGTTAGACTTCTCCACCTTTCCCACATCGCCCCGATCCCAAAGCCCTGCAGAAGTGGACAGCAACGTGGCCCATGCTCCTGGGGGCCTCTCCTCCCCTGAAGAGGCCCAAGTGGCCGGAGAGACAACTGCACCCAGGACATCCTCCCAGGCCACACTCCGGGCTGACCACCCTGAAGCAGAGCCTCCCCAATCCAGCCAGCTGCCTTCACAAGGTGGCACTGGCCCAGGGGGGACACCAGGGCCTCCCTCAGAACCAGGGGAGCCCCGGGGGCCTCTGGGCCTGGAGAGGCTGCCCGCATCCCAGCCTGGGCCTGAGAAGGGCGCCCTGGGCCTGGAGAGGCTGCCCGCATCCCAGCCTGGGCCTGAGAAGGGCGCCCTGGGCCTGGAGAGGCTGCCCGCATCCCAGCCTGGGCCTGAGAAGGGTGCCTTGGGCCTGAGTCTCCTCTCTCAGGAGAGTGAGGCAGCCGTGCGCGAGTGGCTGCGGGGGCAGCGAGGGGTGTGTGTGCCCGCCCTGGGGAGAAGGCTGGCCTATCAGCCCCCAACCCTGTGCAGCCTGCGGACACTGTCTGGCCTCCTGCTCCAGAAGAAGGCCTTGGAACGCAGAGCCGCCTCCCTTGTTCCTGGTGGGGTGGCCGGAGCCCTGCATGCCTCGCGGGGGCTGGTGCACAGGCGGCTCCAGGACAGCCCGGCCTACCTGCTGCTGAAGGCGCGCTTCTTGGCGGCCTTCACCCTCCCCGCACTGTTGGCCACCCTACCCCCCGATGGCGTCCCCACCACCCTGTCGACCACCACGAGGGCCGACTCTGAGAGTGAGAATGACAGCCTAGGGGAGCTGGAGCTCGCTGATGGTGGCAGGCAGCTGGGCTCCTCAGTCAGCAGTCCCCAGGCCGAACCAGCGGCCACAGCCTCTGTTGAGGTAGGTGGCCACGGGTGTGGAGCCCCCAGCTGCTTCCCTGCAGCCCCCGTGGCGCCCTTGCCCCTTTGGGTGTGTGGCCCGCTGGAGCAGCAGGAGTGGGGACTGGGGGTGGCAGCAGGTGGAAGTTGTGGCCAGGAGAGCTGGCTGGCTGGTGTCTGAGGAGGAAGAAGCTGGCTCCAAGCCAGCCCCATGGAGTGTCAGTTCTGTTTGCACAAGTCACCTCTCCTTTCAGCTAGTGTAGACAACAGGAGAGGAAGGAGCCTTGTGGCCAACGGGAGCCCCTCAGCCCCTCCCAGTGCTGTCACCCAGCCCCGCCTGCGGCCTTGTCTGAGGGAGAGGCCCATCTCAGGCTCTGTGCCCCTCCACCTCCAGACACGCACACGCACACACGCTCCTGTGGCAGGCCTTCAGCTCAGCAGAGGGTGGCCCTGCGTTCACACCTCCACTTCTGTGAACACCAAGACCCTTCCTGGGTGTCGGCTGTTGCACCCTTCACATCAGGAGAGTTTTCCAAGCTACAGAGGCAAAAGCATTTTCCTTATTTCCCGAGAAGAACCTGATGTAAACACATGCAGGAAGGTGTGGCCACCTGCACCCAGGGTGCCCCCAGCAAGGCCACCTCTGTCCCTGTCGCCTGGGGCCAAGCAGCAGAGCTGGGCCGCCTCAGATGTTTTGTGCCTAATCAGGAGGTTGTTGAGGTCCCTTGCAGGTGGTGTCTGGGGAGTACATGGCCCAGAGAACCCCCACAGAAGCAATCCCTGCACCTCCCCACCTAGGGTGGCCATGGCTGCTGGACTGGTAGAATCAGGACTGCAGGGAGCTGCTGGTGGTGGCTGGTGGCTATGCCACCCTCCCTGCGGGTTCTGTCCAGCTGGGCTGCTGGAAATGTCCATCTCCCTTCCCAGGGGCATTGCCCCAGTGGAAACGCTGCTGGACCCCAGATATTGAGGGTAAGAGGCTCCCTCCCCCATGGAGCGTGCAGCCTCTGCAGTGCTGCCCTCCCGCGCTCAGTCACTGCCCTGCTGGCCCAGCTGGGGGAACCCTGACACAGGAGGCTGGCTCAAGGGTTGCTCAGAGGGGCTTGGAGCCACCAAGTGAAGGAGGGGTCAGCAGAAAGCCAGAGCCCATGTGTGGCCCCAGGAAGGACAGTGACCCTCCCATTCTTTGCCTGTCACAACTGTGTGTGGCAGTGTCACCAGGCCCAGCCTGGAGTGGTCCTCACTGCCGGAGCCCCAGCTGCTCTAGACCTGCTCCGCCTCAGCAAGGACAGGTCTGAGGAGCTGCCCCGCCCTGGTGTTGGGGACATGGCGTCCGCAGGGTCCCTCTGCCTGCTCGCTGCTCCTCACTGCCACCTCGTCCCCTGCCCATCCTGGCTAGAGGGTCACTCTTGTCCCGTGTCTGGATTCTCTTGCAGGGAACTGCAGACTCTGACAAGGGCTGTGCCCCCTGCTGCCTGGATAGTCTTGACGACCTCGATGTGCTCAGAACCCGGCATGCCCGGCACGCCCGGAAGCGGAGGAGGCTGGTGTGAGCAGCAGGGTGAGTGGGCGAGGCAGGGGCACCAGGAAGACATGGGGCCTTGTTCTCAGCTCTGCAGTGAGCACGCAGGAGCCAGGCCACCTCTGCCTAGGAGCCTGCTCCCTTCCATGTTCAGGCCAGGCACCCCCAGGGCCATGAATGGCATGGCCCTGCCCTCAGGAGCTCATGTCAGGTGTGATGGTGCTCGGCAGCCTGGGGTGTGAGCATCCCTGGGCCTCGCAGGGTGGCCCAGGGTCATGGAGGCCCTCCTCCTCACTCTGCCCCTTGCCCACTGGGCTCCACAACCCAGCCTCTGCACTTCCTTCCTGCTGGCCCACATGTGCTGCGGGGCCTTTGCACTGCTGTCCCCTCTGTCTGGCACTCTTCTCCCTCAGTCTGCAAGGCTCATTCTTCCATTTGGGTCTCTGCTCAGTGTTCAGCTCATCAGAGATGCCCTCCCTGATGGCTCTCCTAAGGTGGCACCACTGTCTCAATGTCCATCTCTCCTCCCTGATGTCTGACGCGATCTGTCCGTTGTCTTCCCCATGAACACATAAGGGCACCCTGGGCGTTGTGCTGCTGGGTCCCCAGTGCCCAGACAGTAGGCACCAAGTAGGCCCCCGGCACGAATTGATGAGTTCATGAAGCTGAGACCCAAGTCGGGGAGGACGTCCAGAGGCCCAGCTGGCTCTGAGCACGGTGTGGGCTGTGCCGTGAGAGGGTCTGGGTCCTAGAGTGGGTGAGGGAACAGGGGACCCTGGAGAGGTGGGACCACAGAGGGGATGTCGGGGTGGTCCCATTTGCAGCCCACCTCAGGCTCTAACTGCCCTCACCTCAGGCCCGCTCCATGGACCACAGCTGCAGGGGCAGGTGGCAGCAGGACCTCGCTATGCCCCACCCTCCCCCACAAGGCAGTGCTGCCTTGGTTCCTGTCCCTCTTCAGCGCTATCTGTGCCATCTGGCTGGGGTCAGGGCACCCCACCACCAGGGTATTCTTGTTTTCCAGGACTGCCCGGAGCCCAGACACCCATGGCTCCTGCTGACAGGAAGTGGGACCCACGCCGGGCCCTGGCAAACCTGCCAGCGACCCCTCAGGAGGAAGCAGCGGGAAGTCGGGGGAGGCTCTGCCATGTGTGACCGCGGCATCACAGGGGCTCGCTGGTGCCCAAGTGCAGACCGAAATACCTGAAGAAATAAAGTAAACGTCCTGTTTTTTAATTAAACAGTAGGCTGTGGTCTTGTCCTGGGATGCTGGGTGCTATGCAGAGGGCTCGGGGGCGTGGGGGCGGGGCAGAGAAGTGGAGGTTTGCCCTGCTCACGGGAAGCTGTGGCTCTGGCCTTCGGGCCGAGGGTCCCTTCTGAGCAGAAGGCAGCTCAGCACCCGCCCAGGCGGCTGCCAGCCCTCTTGGGACCACCGCAGGGCCGAGGGTGGGTCCACTTCCTCTGCCGTCCAGACCACACAGGCCGACCCAGGCGAGTACCTGGAACCAGCACTGCCTGGGGGCCCCGCACAGCAGCGCGGGCCGGTGCTGCCTGCCTCTGTGTGGGTGCTTCTTTGGCATGAAACCAAGCCCCAGCACCCTCTGTGTCCCTCTGTCCTAGGGAAACAGCCTGGGGTCGGTTTGTAGCTGTCGCGGCACTTGGTTCCCGGAGCTTCGTTCTCGTTGCTTGCTGCTTCACTTGGTTTCACCTATTTATTATGGAAAGTTCTCAACGTACAGAAATAGAACAAGTGTGCCCAGCATGTGTCCTGGCCCCCGGCCTCAGGGCAGTCACCGATGTCACCTGTCTCCCTCACCCCCACCCAGACGTCCCATGTCACACCTGCCACAGGCTGACCCAGTCTCTCGTATGTGTATTTTTGTTTTTTACTTTGCGCCCAGTATTCTGTTAACTAATTCGTAGTTTTCCCTGTGACTTCCTCTGACCAATGGGTTATTTGGTGCTGTTGGTGATGTGGAGTGGGTTCCGCTTCTGAGACCCTGCGGCAGCAGAGGGAACCCTGCCTGGTCTTTTGGCGCCATCCTCTACTTCTGCCTTCTCAGACAAGCGCCACTGCTAGTCACAGGGTTTCTATGGCCTTTTTTTTGGAAGTGAGTGGCCAGGTCCTTCCTCCTGGTCTGTCTAGTCTGGAAGCTCCGCTGACACCTGTCCACCGTGGCGACCCTGCTGGTAATGAGTTATTTGAGCCGTTTGTTATTTAGTGTCCAAGTAGTAAGGGATTTTCCAGATACCCTTTTGTTACTGATTTATAGCTTAGCTCTGATGTGGCCCAAGAACACGACATTTTTTTTTTTTTTAGATTTTTTTTTTTTCCTTTTTTTCCCCAAACCCCCCAGTCCATAGTTGTATATTCTTCATTGTGGGTCCTTTTAGTTGTGGCATGTGGGACGCGGCCTCAGAGTGGTTTGATGAGCAGTGCCATGTCCGCGCCCAGGATTTGAACCAACGAGACACTGGGCCGCCTGCAGCAGAGAGCACAAACTTAACCACTTGGCCACAGGGCCAGCCCCCCGACATTTTTGTTTTTATTTTTTTTTATTTTTATTTTTTAAAGATTTTATTTTTCCTTTTTTCTCCCCAAAGCCCCCTAGGTACATAGTTGTGTATTTTTAGTTGTGGGTCCTTCTAGTTGTGGCGTGTGGGACGCCGCCTCACCATGGCCTGATGAGCAGTGCCATGTCCATGCCCAGGATTCGAACCGGTAGGACCCTGGGCCACCAAACCAGAGCATGCAAACTCAACCACTTGGCCACGGGGCTGGCCCCTTTATTTTAAGATTGACACCTGAGCTAACGTCTGTTGCCAATCTTTTTTTCCTTCTTCTCCCCAAAACCCCGCAGTACATAGCTGTATATTCTGGTCGTGAGTGCCTCTGGTGGTGCTCTGTGGGAAGCCGCCTCAGCGTGGCCTGATGAATGGTGCCATGTCCAACCAGCAAAACCCTGGGCCACTGAAGCAGAGCACCCAAACTTAACCTCTCGGCCATGGGCTGGCCCCCTATTATTTAATTCTGAAACACACACCACGAGGAAGACACCTCAATTAGCCTTGTTTTACCAAGTGAGAAAGCCTTGGGTCGTCGAGGGCCCCGCAGCGGCTGGCCCATCCCGTGAGAGCAAAGCTGCAGCCTGGGTGCCTCCCTGCTCGCCCAGCCCAGGGCATGAGCCCCCAGAACACAGTCCCCCAGGGTCCAGGGGACTGCCCACTGCTGGAGGGTGACGTTGGGCCTCTGTCCTCCCGGAGCCTGCAGGAGAGCCAGGCTGCCGCACTGCCACCAGGACTCGCCCCGCCTGGCAGTGCCTGGACTCCTGAGGTTTCAGCTGAACAGGGGACCACCATGGACCAGGGGGCAGAGGAAGGCCCAGGATCGAGCCCGCCAGGAAGGGAGCTGGTTTGGGCAAGAGGCAGCTGCCTCAGAGGGTGGAGCGGAGTGCCAACAGGCCACGCCCACCTGCCCAGCCAGCTGCAACCCCTTTCCGTAGCCGTGGCCTCACCCACTAGGGTAGGCGGCAACTCAGCTCAACTGGTACGGCTACACCGGTGAGGTGGGGGCCGTGGGTTCCCCGACCTCGGCAGGGTGAGGCCACAGAGTCCACAGAAGACTGATGCTGTGGCCAAGGGCCAGAGTCTCATCCTGCAGTCAACCGCCCTTCTGACACTGGCTTGTGGGGCCTCAGGGAGTGACCTCGGAGTCCTGGGAGCCTGCTGTCACTGTCCCATGTGTCCTGGTGGAGAGGGCTGCAGAGTGGGGATGCTCCCAGGAAGGGACGACGGTGTGCTAGCTGCAGCATGGGCTGATGGCCATGTGGGGCAAGTGTGGCCAGCGCCCATGGCCTCTTGCAGGTGGCAGCAGGCTCCCCAGCCCCATGCCCTCTTTGGACACCACACTGCAGCCGTTGGGTGTCCCAGCCAAAGCAGACTAGACAGTGGATTGGTGTCACCCAGCCCCCGGTGGGCCCTTACTCGCACTTTCACTGTGCAGGGTGCCAGGGCTGGGCCTCCAGGGCAGGCCCAGGACCCCGGCTGCTGGGCAGGCTGGGAGGGCTCCAAGCAGCTTTCCTCTGAGAGCAGCCAACTTCCACTTCCCTCTGCCCCGCCTCCCAGGCCACCCTGGCTGGGCGAATCAGAAGGCAGCCACCAGGGACTGTCCCCCTCCGGGAGGACCAGCCAGGCCTCTGCGGAGTTACCCAGAACCATCAGGAAGTGCACAGGCTTTCCTCCCGGCCTCCACCCTCCCTCCAGCAGCAACTCCTGTGGCTCATTGAATCGGGGTGGCCCAGGCTGGCCAGCGTCCAGCTGCACAGGTGCCCCCTCGAGCGCTGAGGTAGGCTGGTCTGGGGCCCTTTCTGTAAGGTGACTAGGAAGGTGCTGTGGCTCTCTGCTGGGGCAGGGAGCAGGGTCCTGGAGCAGATACCCCAGGAGGGCACCAAGTGGCCTCAACTCTTCTGCCCTGTCCCCCTTCATGGCCACCGGGACCTGCTGGTTCATCTCAGGGGAATTAGCAGCAGGGCATCAGATGTGGGACCCGTGGATTTTAGGCTAGAAAGGTGGGAACAGGCTGAAAGTTCCCAGGACCATCCACCAGGTTGCTGGTGTCTTTATTCCACGCCTGTCTGTCGCTGGGCTGGACGGGATGGCCAAGCACAGCGGGAAGCTGGAGGAACTCCTCCAAGGCCAGGCCTGCTGCCACCCACGCCTCTAGGACCCTGTTCTCATTCCTGTGGGCTGGAAACGGCGTTTCCCACATGGCTAAAGGCTGGCTGAAGTGGCCAGCTCAGGGTCTGTCCCCACTGCCCAGAGGAGGCATGACCACCTGGCTTGGCCAGGCCCTGGAGAGAGCAGTTCCCACACGCTGGTAGAAGGGAGCAGCAGTGGGTGGTCCCAACATAGATGGTCCCCTCATCAGAGGGCCAGAAGGTGGCTTGACCGTCCAGGGACAGGGGAGAGGAGCCGGAGATGGCGGGTTCCCAGGACCTGAGCACCTGGAGAAGGTGCCCAAGCAGCATTCCAGGTCAGCTGTGGGCGACACAGCCAGCCCCTCCCCGTGTTCCCGGGCCCTGGCCCTCCTGTGGGCAGTCAGTCACCCTTCTTGAAGGCACTGTGCCGCTGAGCCTGACTCGAACCCTGCCAGCCCCGGGCAGCTGCTGGGTGGCTATTGCATCACCAGGCGGCCGCGGAAGGAGAGGAGGGGCTGGGGCTGGACGTGAGCGGGTGCTAAGCCGGGGAATGAGGAAGCCCTACGCAGCTCAGCCTGGTGCTGCGCAGGTGGGAGGGCCGCTTGCCGACACGCTTCTTGCCCCAGCCTGGGCACTGGCCAGCCGGAGACTGCAGACTCCCTCCCCACACCCGCCAGGGAGGTCGTGCCAGTGGGCAGCAGCAACATAAACGTCTCCTGCTGCCCCGTCACCTCCAAGGGTGAGAGGCACATCTCTGCCAGCCCCACAATACTTTAGGGGTGTCCGGGGGGCAGAGACCAGAGGAGGGCCATGGTGCAGGGGGTGTTCCAGCGTCTCCACACCTTCCCCCATGCTTATCGGGGTGACTTGGGAGAAAGAAAGCCCAGGGTAGCCGGAGGGGCTGGAGCAGGGCCCAAGTGAGGCCAAGGACGGCTGTCCGCCAGCAGATGGGCTACCTCCCCTTCTTGGTTGCCGAGACAAGAGGGCAGGGGTGAGGCTGCACACCTCTCCCAAACACCCCTCGCCTGAGTTCCTGGCCCGGCACTGTGGTGGCAGGCCTGCGTCCCGGCTTGGCTGACGGCTCAGCCAGTGGTGTCCTGCCCAGCTGCCCTCCCCGACTCCAGCCGCCCCAGTGCCATGTCGGACTATGAGAACGAGGACGAGTGCTGGAGCACCCTGGAGGGCTTCCGGGTGAAGCTCATCTCGGTCATCGACCCCTCGCGCATCACGCCCTACCTGAGGCAGTGCAAGGTCCTGAACCCTGACGACGAGGAGCAGGTGCTCAGCGACCCCAACCTGGTCATCCGCAAGCGCAAAGTGGGTCAGTGCTGCCCCCACCGCACCCTCCAGCTGGCCAGGAGCCCGCCCAGAAGTGGCTGTGGGCTCTGTCCCCTACCCTTGTCCCCAGCAGGCCAAGCCCCTGTGCCCCTGCCTTGGAGTACACCCCAACCCCAACTGTGGGCATGTGAATGGAACCCCCAGCACCCCTGAACCCCTCCCCGTCTGCCTGGGGCCATGGCGCCTCCATGCACAGCTGAGCGCCC